GGTGTGGGTTAACATACTGGGGTGTGTTTCCTGATCAACGGCGTAACTCACGGCTGAACTATCACAGTACGATGCATCATTTAGGAAAAGAGCGATGTAGTGACGAGTGTTTCCCTAAACCCCTAGAGTCTCTGTCACAGATCCATCGCTTGAACCACATTAGTTATAATGTAAAACTCCTATAATGACGCTCTAAACAAGGTGGAGGAACAACTTCTGTAGAGAAGAACCACATCATTACTCTGTGCAGATGATATTGTTTTACACACACACACACACACACACACACACACACACACACACACACACACACACACATTTAAAATAATCCAATATTAGTTTGGGTATAAGCATGCACTCGCTTTCCACATGAACTAAAATATATGTAAATGCCACATATGTTATCTTTACTAATATTATTGATTCTAAAACATCAAATCACTTACAAAAGCTAACACGTATTCAAATCTCATATATACTTCTAATAAATAAATAAATAAATAAATAATGAGGCTTTTACTAAGTAATTAAATTTAATATTTTTTATTTATTAGGAAACTTTAAATCCTACTTTAATAATAATATTAATATTAATGCTGATTATTATGATGTAGGATATTGTTTATTTAGTGTTTATTTTTTAGAAAAGTCTACTTTTACAGTTTGACACATGTACACCACTGCAGAACTGTTCTACCCAGCAGGCCCATGTCATATACAGTACAGATACTTAATAAATGACCTGCTATACATTAACATTATTAGCGTATGCTGTGTTCTTTGTTTCCAGAAGCTTTAGAGACGTTACATAAATTCTGCTTTTCAATAATAGCTCACCTGTAGCTTTCACCATGAGGCTGTGTTCACAACGACATCAATGTAAGTGCTCAAGTTTGTGACGCAGTTTGCGAATGTTTGTTGGAGCGACAGATTTGGGAAACGGCAAATCAACAAACTGTGTTTGTAACGACGGAACTTGTGACCTTAGTTGGCTAACAATGGTTTTGGGAAACACTCCAGGACAACACTCACTTCACTTCAACATGACAGTCTGGAATTTTACCCTCAAGGTTTTGTCTTCTGTACTGAACTCTTCATATTCAGCTGTGCCTCAGTACAGATAAAGTCAACATTTGTAATTTTTTCACTTCTTTAAATATTTCCCAGATGATGTTGAACAGATTGAGGAAATGTTCACAGTGTGTCTGATAATATTTGTTCTTCTGGAGAAAGTCTGATTTGTTTTATTTCGGCTAGAATAAAAGCAGTTTTTAATTTTTTATGAACCATTTTAAGCTCAATATTATTAGCCTCTTTAAGCTAGATTTGCTTTCGATAGTCTCCAGAACAAACCACTGTTATACAATAAGTTGCCTAATTACCCTAACTTTACCCTAATTACCCTAGTGAAGCCTTTACATGTCACTTTAAGCTGTATAGAAGTGTCTTGAAGAATATCTAGTCTAATATTATTTACTGTCATCATGACAAAGAGAAAATAAATCAGTGATTAGAGATGAGTTATTAACACTGTTATGATTAGAGATGTGTGGAGAAATCTGCTCTCTGATAAACAGAAACTGGGGGAAAAATAAAAGTAATGGGTAACACTTTATAATAACTGCACACTATAAATCATTTATTAAGCATTAGCAAATAGTGAATTCATTATCCGTTGAGCATGAACTCTACATTAATAAACGTTAGTAAGCAGTTTATAACTGCAGCTACAAATGCTCTATTCTTGACTAATAACCACATTTAAAATGTGCTTAATAATTGTATTTTTTATACTTAGTAAATTAAGTAAATTAAGTATCACATTATTTACAAACCATTTGTATTTAAGAGTAGTTGAGGGTTTTTAGGATCATTCAGAATGAGTTAGTAAATGATTAATAAACTATTGAAATCAACATTTATATGTCTTATTATTCAGGCATATATTAATGGTTAATATGTATGTTAATAAATGCTTTATTAACTCAGATTCACCTAGTTTTGTGACCTAATCTAAAGTAAAGACTATTCATGCTTTATAAATCCTTTATAAATGATAAATAAAAGCGCAGTTAAATTCTAAACAGGCAGAATGACATTATCCATTCCTATTCAATTAAAGATACACAAATGAAACTGTACTTTAAATGAAAAATAAATCTTTGCAACCTGATCTAAAATAGAATCACTGTAGAGTTTTAACGTTACATTTTATTACATTGTTTAATTATTATCAGTTTTGTTGTATTTTGACACTCCTGTTATTCAGCAATGTTTAAACTATACAGTAATTTGACATTTTAGAAAAGATTGCAAAGATTATAGTTCATTTGATTCTGAGCCTTTATTTATCATTTATAAGGGACTTATAAAGCATGAATAGTCCTAACTTTAGATAAGGTCACAAAACTGCATGAAGCATTTATTAACATATTAGTTGAATATTAGTATATGCCTGAATAATAAGACATATAAACGTTGATTTCAATAGTTTATTAATCATTTACTAACTCATTCTGAATGATTCTAAAAACCCTCAACTACTCTTAAATACAAATGGTTTGTAAATAATGTGATACTTAATTTAGTAATGAAAAATAAATCATTAACTAAGTATGAAAATACAATTATTAAGCACATTTTAAATGTGGTTATTAGTCAAGAATAGAGCATTTGTAGCTGCAGTTATAAACTGCTTACTAACGTTTATTAATGTAGAGTTAATGCTCAACGGATAATGAATTCACTTTTTGCTAATGCTTAATAAATGATTTATAGTGTGCAGTTATTATAAAGTGTTACCAAGTAATGTCCTTTATTTGGTGTTGATTTGATCTGAGGCTGTGGTTGTCGGTCAGCTGTTGTTGTGTTTCTGTTGTCAAATGATGATAAATGCCACTTTGTGATGGGGCGTTCGAGACAGTCTTATCTCAAGGGTCTGTTGTGTTGAACAGTGAAATCATGATCAGTTCATCCTCTCATATCCACAATCTTATCTGTTCATACAGGAGCATGAGGGTTAATAATGTGATGGAGTTGTGTTTTTCAGCAGACACACATACAGTAATTTTTGGAAAGTATTTTCTGGGGAAGGGATCATTGGGCAGACACGTCTTTACATGCATTTTCAGTTCCCCTTACATGCAAATCTCATTCAGGTCATCCAGATAAATACTCCACGAGATTGGAGAAGACTTCCAAACCAGCTCAGCCATTCAAACAGACCACTTACAGCTCCTGAACAAACCATGAGTTCTGACGACGAAAAAGTATTTGACACTTGCATGAAAATATGGCGTGTGAAGAGCAAACGCAAAAAAAAACAAGCCTCTGATAACTTCTTAGGCAAAGTTGCAAACATAGCAAGTGCAGCCACTGAAAACAATAAAGAGAAACTCCAGGAAGCAGTCCTCAAAAAAGGTGGCCGTTACCTTTTTCGCCGTTGGTTTGGCAGGTGAGTAACTTTATTTCATTTCAGGAGAATGTGGGATAGTTGTAACAGGTTTTGCTTTTCTCTATATGTCTGTGAGATGTTTTAGAGGAGACTGATCATGCTTATGCGACTTCACCATAGAAAAGCCGACAGTTTTACAGTGACATCTGACAAACACTTTGGACTAGCATGTAGAAAACTTTATAAATGCTCTTTGTGTGTCTGATAATATGCTTCTGTCTTCAGCAATGACGAATAACTGGAGGAGCTGAGCAGACGCTGAGCAGGAGGATCCCGAGCGGTAAGTGATTAACATATAAGCTGCTCGATGTTCTCTATATATGTAGTGCAGTTCAGTGTGTGATACGACTCTCAGATACTTTTCTCAGAAAACAGATTTCTAAAGGTGCTGTTGACTTGAAATTATAGGTGGGCATAGATACATTTTTAATCCAAAACACAGCCGAGGAGACTCTCAGATGCTTTCAGAGAAAGAAAATCAAGCTGTAGAATGGCCCAGCCAATCACCTGAACCGAATCCAATAGAGAAAACAGAATACAGCTCAGATTTGACAGACGAGACCCACAGAATTATCGAGATTCTCACACTCTGACGTCTGTTGAGCACTGCATGAGGCTTCACTCTCCATATGAGAGGCGTCTTTAAGCTGTCGTCATTAATATATTTTATAAACACTTTCTCCTTCTGTCATTCCACTTGTTCAGATTCTTTTTGTTTCATGTTTGTCTTGTTTGGGTTTTTATCAAAATCTGCTTCAGTTGATGTCAACAGCTCCGTTAGAGATATTATGGCCAGGAAAACACACGGCAATGTCTTCAACCCTTATTTTCCTGCTCTATATTTTGCAGTTTGTCATTAAATATTTTCATTAATGCCTCAGTTAAATGTAATGATGTTTCTGTTCATGGTGTTCTCCTATAAACTCTTGTTTAAGTGAATATAACTGCTTCATAACCTGACGTGTTTAAATGCTCTACAAATGATCGTCTATATTCTCTTGGAAACAGATGGAAATTGACAGTATTTGTCATTATTTTCAGTAACACAGTTTTTCATGTGTTTTAGAAGCGTAAGAAACATGATTATTATTAATGTTCACTCTTTTCCCTCCTCAAGTGATCAATCTGTGCTGAGTAAAGGGTTTCTGGACACAACACAACAGCTAAGATGAGTTCAGCTCCTGTCAGGAACACTATAAGCAGACGTCATCATGACGACCATCACAACTGTACAGAACAACACAGCTTCAGCCGTCTTCTAGAATGCGTCTATATAATATATGAAGTCAGAGTTATTCTCCCCCTGTATATTTTACCCCAGTTTCTGTGTAACAGAGAGCAGATTTCTCCACACATCTCTAATCATAACATAACTCAACATAACTCTGACTTCATCTGTATATATTTATTCCTCTGCAATGCTTTCTAGTTTATGAACATCCTTCATTTAATATGTCTGATATTTGCTGTGACGGATGATGCAACACTCCTTTATGCATTAATTTCTATTATTCTAAATGGATTAATCTTTTGAATCTCTCTTGTACTTTTTATTGATTGTTGATTTTGAATAAATGTTCTATTGGTGTTTTGCCTTTAGTCAAACCTTTTAACTTGTATTTAATGTCTACAATGCAAATCCAGTCAGATCCTCTTTATCTGGTAAACAAAGCAAGTGTCTGATATAATATCTCTACTGAAAGACAGAATATATGACTGCACACACTGTATTGTACATAAACCAGATGAACATTTACACATTAGTCAATAATATTACTGTAATTAATGTAAAAACTGAATAAATATAGATGTACACACATTTACACACGTCAATAAACTGAATCAATGATGAGCTCAAATCTGTGGAGATGTCAGTCTAGATATGACCACAACCAACAAATCCATCTAAAACAAGCTGAACAAAATGAACACATGAACTGTTCAGCAATGTGGATTAACTGTCTTCCCTACATCCTCACCATAACTTCTGTTCAACAGTTCTCCATGCTTCATGCATAAAAACTGAATGTTAATAGTAATGGTGTAAGTAAAATAAACCCCACTGGTAAATACTGAAAATTATTAGTGTTTTTCTAAGGGAAATTTCGTTGCTAATGGTCTCATAAAGGTCTTGAAAAGGTCTTAAATTTGATGTGGTGAAACCTGCAGAAGCCCAGACATTCAAGATAATATCTATTAGAGCAGTATAATCCCAATACCGTCAATACGTGATACTTTTATTCAAGGTCATCATCACACCGTCAGAATCTTCTACCGGCCCATGCCTAGAGGCCAGTGAGGGTACACACATTTACTCAATACAAATATTACACACTCTGGCCAGGCTGGAGGAGGTGGGTTCAGTTGGGCTCAGGTAAAACCACACAACACACATTATTGCTTTACTTCATTAAAAAGTGTGTGTGAATGAGTGTGTATGGGTGTTTCCCAGTACTGGGTTGCAGCTGGAAGGGCATCCACTGTGTAAAACATATTCTGGAATAGTTGGCGGTTCATTCCGCTGTGGCGATCCCTGATTAATAAAGGGACTAAACTGAATAATGAATGAACTTTTATATTTATCATGAATTGTTTTCCAGTTAATGAAATGTTTAGAAGTTTAGTAACGAGTTTAACTTTTCTTTAGTAAAATAACTCTGACTAGTCTCAGGTATGGAGCTGCTGTGGGATCCAGTGCAAAGGCTAGAGTATGCTGATCTGCCTCCTGTTTGTGCTTCTTTATTAAGAAGTCTGATATTTCACCCTTCCTTTTCATGTTTAGTTGTCCCTGTGCAAAAAGAGTACAGTCTGGTTACATCTGATCCAGTTAGAAACACGTATATCCTAATTAAAAATATCCATTATCATACCTGCACATCTAAATCAGCATCATAAAATCAAAGTATATGAGGTGGCTAATCCATTTCAGATAAATTTCACTCACAAACAGCTAGCCTAACATCACTTTCCCATATTAGCAAAATATTTGAGCAGTGTAAATCAAACATAATAACTTGCATACATGGAATGTGCATGTATTACTAGCATAGATTAAGTATAGCGTTAACTGTGTAAAGAGCGAACTGATCTCTTTCTCATGAAGTTAACTCATGTCGTCGGTGCCTCATTAACTTACACAGCAGATAATAAAGATTCCTAAGCAAACAAACCTTATGCTAAACTATAAAACATATTTCAAGTATTATGTTATGATGTGGTATTATTCGTCTTACTTGAAACAATGATCTTATCTTCGGCTCGTCTTTGATTTAAAAATAGCTTGAGCGCAGTGTTGCCAGATATAGCTGAGTGATTACAGCCCAAAAACTATCCAAAACCCGCCGAACAATCTAAATCAAAACCGCCCAATCTGGCAACCCTGCTTGTGCGTTGGCGGGCACGCCGGCAAAAATCAGTAACGTCTTTAGACAAATGAGATGCTAATGAGCTTCAGGAGATCAATAATATCCAGCTGCAGGCCCGCAGAACCTCACACGGTTCAGGCACACACAATCTGGCACACACTATAGGCAAACCACATATGTTAAGACGGATGTTAATGTTATAAACGTCTTTTGAACATCGTCATCGATATATTTTGATATATGGTTAATTGTACACAATAAACAATAGTGCTTCCTTGATTTCACAGATATTGTGATCGAGACAGGTGAATGGGGAGCATTGTTTTCAGTTTTTATCAGTCATTATAGCTGATCCGTCGTTATTATCTGACAATAATATGGCAGATACTCGTTTGCTGGCCTTGCTGAACCATCTAAATTGGACAGGTTTAATTTATATAATGGATTAATTAATTAATTATGAAGGAAATAATAGCAAGTTAATATAGGCAATAATACATTATATGTAATAAAACTCTTTTTACATGCAACAAATGTATAACACTATATTCATATTTTACTCAAGCAATTTAATAGTTTTTTTGCTTGACTTTCTGATAACCTTTTAATTAATGATTTCCCACATTTAATACTGTAGTAATTTATTGTAGGGAATTAATAGTTTTTAAACCAAAGTTTAGCAATAGAAACAAATTAACTATTAATAATTCATAAAAGATTAGTATTTATATATATATATATATATATATATATATATATATATATATATATATATATATATATATATATATATATATATATATATATAAAACAGCTGTGACAGTTTAGTAAAAGATAGTTTATATATAAACTAATAATTATAATCAGATAATTAGTTAAGATAATCAGTTTATAACTATATATATTGTTTAAATGATTAACTATAGTTGGCTAATTTATTTTAATGTGACACATTATTGTTTGCTTTTTATATTTTACAACAAAGTGATTTTAATCAAGTATGATAAGATTAAGATATTGAATTAGTTTATTACACTTAATCCTACAATTAGACAGTCTGTTGTGTTTTCTTTGTGTATGTGGACACATGGATAAAGTCATAAGTGTCTTTAACCAATTATTTGTATTTAGATCATTTGAGTTCAGCAACTGCAGAGATGTTAAAATGATCGTTACGATATAATAATGATGATGACTGAAATGGGAAACCATACTTGTGAAATTTAATGGGTGGCGATAATGCTTAGGAGTTACTATATATGGTTTGCTGAATCGTGTGTCCTAGATTGTGTGTGCCTAAAACGTGTGTGGTTGTGTAGCTGGATAACTGCCAGCAGCAAATAAAAGTTTGGGGTGGCACCAGGGGTGGCCAATCAGATGTTAGGGGTGTCCATCCCGGACACCCCTCTGGCTCCCCACTGCATTTGATAGACCTGTTCCTCCTCACGCCTCATTTCTGTCGTCTGTTAAGGTAAGCAGGCTGTGTGCATATGGCAAGCCGTATTAGCATTTAAACCTTTGTTCTGACTATCCATAAATATATTTAGAGATATCTCAAATTATATTTAGACTAGTCAGAATGACAATTAGAGATAGCTGCAATTACAATTGTACTAGTACGATTCAGACTGGAGATATCTGCAAATATATTATGACTAGTCATATTCCTCCATTGACTTCCATTGAAAAATATCTGCAGATATCTCCAAATGAGTTTTGACTAGTCACAATTGTAATTAGAGATATCTCTAAATGAGTTTTGACTAGTCAAAAATCCAATTCAAGATATCTACAACTGTAATTCGACTATTAGTAAATTAATTAGAGATATCTTCAAATATATTTGTAAATATCTCTAAATATGACGAATTAAAGACATCTCCAAATGTATGACTAGTAAAAACTCAGTTAAAGACATCTTTAATTACAATTGTTACTAGTCGAAATTTATTGCTCAATATTGCTCAGATTGCTCAATATTATTAACCTCTTTAAGCTAGATTTGCTTTCGATAGTCTCCAGAACAAACCACTGTTATACAATGACTTGCCTAATTACCCTAACTTTACCCTAATTACCCTAGTGAAGCCTTTACATGTCACTTTAAGCTGTATAGAAGTGTCTTGAAGAATATCTAGTCTAATATTATTTACTGTCATCATGACAAAGAGAGAATAAATCAGTGATTAGAGATGAGTTATTAACACTGTTATGATTAGAGATGTGCTGGAGAAATCTGCTCTCTGATACACAGAAACTGGGGGAAAATATACAGGGGGAGAATAACTCTGACTTCAGCTGTAGATCCAGACAGGGCACTTTAATGTCCTTTATTTGGTGTTGATTTGATCTGAGGCTGTGGTTGTCGGTCAGCTGTTGTTGTGTTTCTGTTGTCAAATGATGATAAATGCCACTTTGTGATGGGGCGTTCGAGACAGTCTTATCTCAAGGGTCTGTTGTGTTGAACAGTGAAATCATGATCAGTTCATCCTCTCATATCCACAATCTTATCTGTTCATACAGGAGCATGAGGGTTATTAATGTGATGGAGTTGTGTTTTTCAGCAGACACACATACAGTAATTCTTGGAAAGTATTTTCTGGAGAAGGGATCATTGGGCAGACACGTGTTGACAGCCATTTTCAGTTCCCCTTACATGCAAATCACATTCAGGTCATCCAGTTAAACCCAGAGATTGGAGAAGACTTCCAAACCCGCTCAGCCATTCAAACAGACCACTTACAGCTCTTAAACAAACCATGGGCAACGCTGGATGTGACACTTGCATGGAATATTGCCATACGAAATGCAAATGCAAGTGTCATAAAAAGGATAAACACAATAAAATACATGCAAAACTTGAGTTCTCTGATGACACCGCTGACACCGCTGCAGACTTGGCAGATGCTGCCGCTGAAGACGATTGCTGCGATTTGGGAGATTGCTGTCAATTCTGCTGTTGTTTCCTCTGTAAACTTTGCGATTTCCTTTGCTGTTGTTTTTGCAGGTGAGTAACTTTATTTCATTTCAGGAGAATGTGGGATAGTTGTAACAGGATTTGCTTTTCTCTATATGTCTGTGAGATTGTTTAAAGTAGACCTTATCTCCTGCTTATGCGACTTCAAGGAAAAAGCCGACAGTTTTACAGTGACATCTGACAAACACTCTGGACTAGCATGTAGAAAACTTTATAAATGCTCTTTGTGTGTCTGATAATATGCTTCTGTCTTCAGCAATGATGACGAATAACTGGAGGAGCTGAGCAGACGCTGAGCAGGAGGATCCCGAGCGGTAGGTGATTAACATATTAAGCTGCTCGATGTTCTTCTCCATATGTAGTTCAGGTGCCTGCAGTTTAATCATGGAGTGTGTGATACGACTCTCAGATACTTTTCTCAGAAAACAGATTTCTAAAGGTGCTGAAATTATAGGTGGGCATAGATACATTTTTAATCTAGATTAATCTCACTGTAATCTGGGTTAATCAAGATTAAAACGGCTCGTTTGAATTCTGCCAAAGGCATTCAGAATATGTGTGCGACCCAAATAATGACTAAAGTACGTCTCTGAGAACGGGTTTCTCCAGCCAGGTGGCGCATTAGAGCGGGGGCTATCTCCTGTTTCCTAAATGCATCATAAACTGCTGGAGGAACTGTTCTATGATGAAAATAGATGATGTTCAGTAAATGTGCTGGAGAAATCTGCTCTCCGTTAAACAGAAATTGGAGAAAAAATAAACAGGGGGGCGAATAATTCTGACTTCATCTGTATATATTAATTTTTCTGCAATGCTTTCTAGTTTGTGAACATCCTTCAATTAATATGTTTGATATTTGCTGTGATATTTGCTATGACGGATGATGCATTCATTTTCATTATTTTAAATGATCTTTTGAATCATTGATGTACTTTTTATTGATCGTTGATTTTGATTAAATATTCTATCGGTGCTTTTAAAATTAAAGTGAAATCTATATTAAAGAAGAATAAAATAATAAATAGGTCCGACAGAGCCAATCATTCGGTTCAAGATAAAAAACATTCAATAATTAGAAAATATATATATATTTTTATTTTAATAATTTTAGTGAAGTAATTTAACATTCACCCGCAAATGAGAATAAGTAACGTTAAGCATCTGAATATGATTATTAAAATATTTTGTTTTGTACATGGCTGGCGACGCAGTGGCGCAGTAGGTAGTGCTGTCGCCTCACTGCAAGATCGCTGGTTTGAGTCCCAGCTGGGTCAGTTGGTGTTTCTGTGTGGAGTTTGCATGTTCTCCCTGTGTTCACATGGGTGCTCTGGTTTCCCCCACAGTCCAAACACCTGCGCTATAGGGAAATTGGGTAGGCTAAATTGTCCGTGAGTGTGAATGAGTGTGTGTGGATGTTTCCCAGAGATGGGTTGCGTTTGGAAGGGCATCCGCTGTGTAAAACATGTGCTGGATAAGTTGGCGGTTCATTCTGCTGGGTCGACCCTCGATTAATAAAGTGACTAAGCTGAAAAGCAAATGAATGAAATAAAGTAATTAACATTAACAGTCTAGAAACTCCTTCTGCGCTGATTTGGTTCTACGTGCTTGAACTCGAACTTTAACAAAAAGCACTGACAATACTAAACAAATGATTTAATTTAGTTTGAATAAATAGTCTGAAGGAAAATGAATGCATGAATGAAGGAAGGAATTCAAAGTTACAAGTAGTATGTTTTTCCAATGTGGTTATGAAACCATTTAAGTATTTCATGTGGTGCTTTTTCCTCTTCACAGAGAAGAACACAACGCTGCGGCCAGGATGAGCTTCAGCTCCTGTCAAGGATTCAGATATTTGATGTGGGTTATCTGTTATTCACTCACAAATGAATGACTCAGTTTACATGTTGGGCTGCCAGTAAACATCAGAGGATTCTTCATAATCAACTCCACAATCCAAATTTTCATGCATTTGTTTTTAATTTGAACTGTTTCCCGGAGATGGGTTGCGGCTGGAAGGGCATCCGCTGCGTAGAAACTTGCTGGATAAGTTGGTGGTTCATTCCGCTGTGGTGACCCCGGATTAATAAAGGGACTAAGCCGACAGGAAAATGACAAGAAATGTTTTTAATGTGAACTGATCTTTTAACTCATATCAATTTATTCATTTATAATAACAGTTTTTTTGCATTGTTGTTGAGTCTGATGCTCGTGTGGTCTGCAACAGTGACTTTCTATAGTCATTAAAGCACATGCAGCTTATATAAATAAACTCATTTCTGCCATGACTTTCTTGACCCTGGTTTTCTCTGACTGTTATTTGGGCTGATTCAGGTTTTTCACCAGTCAGCGGAACAACATCAGAACACATTTTCACAAAGAGTTTGTGTACTACATGTGGCAGACTACAGCTTTTACTATGTTCACATAGTAACGTCACTACACAGAGACGTCAGAGCAGGGCCGGATTAACGTAAGGGCTAGGTGGGGCTGAAGCCCCAGGGCTCACAGAATAAGGGGGCCCTTGATTGGCTGAAGAATTACTTTGAGTTATGACGTGGGAAATGCCTCTTTGCGTTATGCTTTCTCTCGTCGATGAAGTATTCTTTTCGGTTCGCTGCTGTTCAAAATCAGTGAAGCCGGTGCTAAACTGTGGCTCAAAGTGGCTGTAGCCCAATCAGAATATCGAATAGCCCTGTTTTAGTCAGCCATAAGGGTGATCAGATTTTCCCAGGACAGTCCCTTACTTTGGCACTACCGTAATAACCGTCCAGTCAAAGGTCGGCTAACCAATCACCTCGTGGAATAAAAAGTCAAATTCAAACTGTCTTCATCACTGATACACTTGTACATGATGTAGTAACAGAAGCTGGGATGGCGCAGAAATGCTGAATGGACTCATAACTGAAGCGCTGTCTCGGCCGCGCGGCGGTTACAGCTCTTCTGATTCTACAGTCGCTATGGTAACTCGACAACTACAGTAATTGATCTGCTGTGGTGATTCTACAGTCGCTATGGTAACAAAACAACTACAGTGGTATAAACAAACAACCCAGTACTGTAGTTTTCTACAAGCACTACTGCAGTATTACACAGTATACATGAATAAGATGTGATGCCCTTTAACACCCTTATTAGACTCTTTCCATACATTTTCAGACCTCATCTCCAATTTAGGTTGTAACCATTAACATTGGGGACATTTTAACCTGCAGTGTGTATTTAGTAAAGCCACAGGCCACGCTCCTGTTTACTAAGTCAAAGATGAGATCCATTAAAATTACATTTTTACCTCTTCAGAATGAATGTTTTATACAATCAAAAATACATAAATTACCTTTTTTTAATCAGTGCAGTTAGGGTTAGGGTTAACTCTAGGAGTCTATTTTTAATACCCAAATTACATAAAAAAAATAAATCAGACATGCTGTATTTGTTCAATAAACTCAGTAAAATTCTAATAAATAAATACAAATAATTTAAAATAAAAAATAAAAAGTTTTTTTGGAAAGTTTGTGAAAATTAAATAATAATAACAACCATAAAACCCCATAAGGATTCTAAACACCCTGAACAGCCTTGGAGATTTGGATTTTTATTATGTTCATTTTGTCATGTACACATTATACACCACACAGCTTCAGTCTGGGGTATAAAGCAACTAAATTAAGACATTTCTGCAGAGTGTGCTTGACAGAGATTCAAGCACACTAGTATACGCAAAATAAACACATGTGAACACAGACAGATTCTCATCCATTCAGTAAGAGTTGCCTAAAGGACTCGTTCATCCATGCCATTAATCAAACATTAGAGAACCAATGACATTTCAGGCCAGTGATTACATGAGATCAACACTCTTACAGCTCTTTTCTCATGTTGTTTCTAAAGACTGACAGACTGTTTACTCTGGATTGATTAGATTATATCAGTGTATGTTGCATTCTGTGAGCTGAACAACAGCATAAACTGACTGAAATTTGACATTTCTACAGCATTCAGCATCTCTTCACTGTGTATATTATAGGATGCTGGATTCTGACTGACTGCTGCAGGAATGAAAAAAGAGAGGAGGCGGAGCCCCAGAGCCACACCCACATATTACATCAACAGCATGGACCAATCGGACCTTGAAGGGGTTAATTTGTTCATTTTGAACTCCAGAAACAAACATTTTTAATTAATTTTGTTATATAAAATGTCACAGCAGTTGATTCTTTTAAACTCTTTTTCTAAGGTGCTTATTTTGGTTTTACCGTTTCCCATTAAAACACATTAGATGCTGGACTTTCAGTAGACAACATCTGAGTTTGTGTCCCACGGCAGCGAGTCTGACATGTTTTATGTATTTACCATTTTATCCATGCATCACCTTACAACAAATACAATTACAAAAAATAAAAAATAAATGAAGGGACAGTTTACTAAAAAGATCTAAATTAACTCATTTATTTAGCTTCACTTTCACACAAACTTGAGATTCTCTTCTGTTGCACACAAATGAAGATGTTTTGAAAAATGTTGAAAACCTGTAACCATTGACTTCCAAAGTAGGACAGTAAATATAGAGATCAATGGCTGTGTTCAAAACTGCTCACTCACTCACTAATCCCTAGACAGTGTATGTCGGTTGAGTGCATCAAGGAGGAAAAAATATTTGAAAAATAATTAAATGTGCTTTTTTGTATTTATGAATAAAATATCACTTGTTTGATTCATTTATTCTGTCATAAACATGATTGTAATGAGGTCATTATAACTGTGTGATGAATATATTTCTGATCCATTTTACAGTAAATCAAAATTAATTCTGCTTTAAAACTATTATTGACATTTTAATGACTAATGTGATTAGTCAACTCACAATAATAATGCCTCATGGCCATTTTGTTTATGACAAATTTATGACAAGTTCTGTTGTCTAATGTCATGCTGCCATCAAAAAAAGACAAACTGTCATCTTTGCACTTAAAATGACATAACTGCGCGAATGAAGCTTAACAGTTGTCAAAAGCATGCATAAAATCTCATAAAGGTCTTTCGAATTGCTTTAGTCATGATCTAAATGTGTAGAATCGCTTTAGTCAAATAACCTGGGTGTTTCAAATCGCTTTAGTTGTGTGACCCGAGTGTTTCGAACCACTTTAGTTGCGTGACCTGGGTGTTTCGAACCGCTTTTGTCATGTGATCAAGTGTTTCGAATCGATTTAGTCGCATGTCCAAAGTATTTTGAATCACTTTGGTTGCATGACCAGAGTGTCTCTAATCGATTTAGTTGCGTTACCTGAGAGTTTGGAATTGCTTTAGTCGCATGACCAGTGTTTCTTAACAATTTAGTCACATGACCTAGATGTTTCAAATTGCTTAAGTCACATGACCCAGGTGTTTCGAATCAATTTAGTTGCATGATCAGGTGTTTTGAATCGATTTATTAGCCTGACCTAAATGTTTCAAATCAATTTAGTTGCGTGACCATAGTGTTTCAAATCACTTAAGCCGTGTAATCTGAGTGTTTCAAAATGCTTTAGTCACGTGACCCGAGTGTTTCTAAACAATTTAGTCGTGTAACCTTAGTGTTTCAAATCGCTTTAGTCACTTGACCTAGATGTTTTGAATTGCTTTTGTCAGGTCACCTGAGTGTTTCAAATCGTCACATGACCAGAGTGGTTTGAATTGCTTTAGTCGCATGACACAGGTGTGTCGAATTGCTTTAGTCGTGTGACTCAGGTGTTTTGAATTGATTTAGTTGCATGACCCAGGTGTGTCGAATTGCTTTAGTCACATGACCACAGTGGTTTGAATTGCTTTAGTCGTGTTACTCGGGTGTTTTAAATTGATTTAGTAGCATTACCTAAATTTTTCAAATCACTTTAGTGAGGTGACCTGGGTGTTTCGAATTGTTTTAGTCACATGACCTAAATGTTTCGATTTGCTTCAGTCACATAACCTAGATATTTCAAACCGCTTAAGTCACGTTACCTGGGTATTTCGGATCATGCTTTGGTGCAGTGTTGCAAAAACTTGCACTTTGGGATCTCGACACTGTGTCGAAACGTCAGTCTTGCAGCTGTCATCCCTAGTGTTCAACAGAAGAAAGAAACTCATAAAGGTCTGAAAGATTTGACTGGAGAGTAAAACAGTGAGTGAATGTTCTTTCAGTGTGAACTGCCCCTCTAAGACGTTTTGAGCAGCACTCTCTACACCAGGATCTTATAAAGCACTTCTCTACTGGCGTTCACTTCCTCAGCATGGGGCAGTGTTTTTTCTTGTGCGTCAGCAGCGTACTCAATCTGCCGAAGCTCTTGTGGCAGGATGGACACTTGTAAGGTTTCTCACCAGTGTGCACTCGCTCGTGCACCCTCAGTGAATCCATGGTGGTAAAACACAGCCCGCAGCGCTCGCACTTAAACGGCTTCTCCCCCAAGTGGATCCTCTGGTGCCGCTTCAGGTAGATCTGCCTGGTGAAGGGCTTCCCGCAGTCCAAACACACGTGCGGCTTCTCTCCGGTGTGGACCTTCATGTGCTCCTTGAAGTTGTGCGGCCACAAAAAGTCCTTCCCACAGTGTGCACACACAAAGGGCCGCACCGTGGCGTGTGTTTTCATGTGCTTCTGCAGGTGTCGAGCCTCCACGAAACTCTTGCCGCACTCCTCACAGCGGTGTTTCTTCTCCCCAGAGTGCTTCTTCAAGTGGCCCATCAGATTCCCGTGGTAAATGAAGGTCTTGCCGCACTGCGAGCACACGAACGGCCGCTCCCCGGAGTGAATGCGGATGTGGATTTTGAGGTTTCCCTTGTGTGTGAAGTGGCGTCCGCACTGCCTGCAGGTGAAGGGTTTGAGTCCGGTGTGGATCTTCATGTGGTGCAGGAGGCTTCCTTTATGCGTGAAGCTCTTCCCGCAGAGTTTGCAGGTGTGCGGTTTCTCTCCGGTGTGGATCCGCATGTGGTCTGTGAGATTGTCTTTATGGATGTAGCTCTTCCCGCAGAGCGTGCACACAAACGGCCTCAATCCCGAGTGAACTTTCTGGTGGTTCTTTAGACTCTGCTTGTGTATGAAACTCTTGCCGCACTCGTCACAGGGGAACGGCTTCTCCACCGTGTGTATGCGGTAGTGGTGCAGCAGATGGTCTTTACAGGTGAAGCTCTTCTGACACTGGTGGCAGGTGAACGGTAACGGACACGCTCCTTTTTCGGTGGTGCACTGAGGCATGAACACTTGTGTTTGGGTGCAGCTCTCTCCGGTGTGGTTCCTGAAGTGCTCCATCAGGTGCTCCTTAGACTCGAAGCTCCTCTTGCACTCCAGGCAGGTGAAGAAAAACCCGCACCCTGCTCGCTCCGCTCTTTTTTGCGTCAGGCTTTTACCGTTCAGCGAGCAGCTCAGGTACTGGGGCTGCTCGTAGTCGTAAACATGCTCATGCTGTTCTTCTCGCTCCTCCTTCACTTCGGTTTGTTCTGAAAGGAGCAGATTGGATTGTTTATCCACAAGCTGTGATGATTAATATGCATTAAGAGCTGTGTTTACCTTTGAAGATGCTAATTAGATTAATGCGCAAAACTGGAGTATTGTAGCGCTGCACGATTAATTGAAAAAAGATGGCGATCTCAATTTGAGCCTACACATGATCCTAATCCAGCATCTCTACGATTCAACCAGTTATACTTTCAATGTCAGGAGAGAAGCGTAAAGTAGGGTTGGGCGATGTCGTCCAATTTTGACGCTGTGACACGTTAACTGATAGATTCAAAAGAGCGAAGAGTCGTTAGATAGAGACAAGATTAATTAAAGATCACTTTTAACAACTATAGTGAGACGCCATCCAGCGCTGCATCCTTGATAAACTGTCTGACGTGCACTGCTCTCTGGGGTTCTGACTGCTGTCCGCTGACTGCTGGAGCTCAGACGTGCGCGTATGCTGCAGCGCATGATAGAGTGTGTGTGCTCACGCTTTCAGCAGTATAGTGTGGATGGAGATATTTTCAGAAACGCTAGTTGAAACGTCAGTGTAAATTAGGCATGGGACGATAACCGTTTTCAAGGTATACAGCGGTTTGGAAAAGCCATGGTTTTAATATCGGCAACGGTTTTTGCAAAACAGTTCCTAAGGTATGTGTACGATTTTTCATTTACTTTTTTTTTTTTTAGAAAAGATATTCAAAGATGCCATTTTAAATCGTAAATAAATCAATGTTTTTAAACTAATGAAGACAGCAGAGGTCAATAATTAATTTGAGTTATTTAGCCTGACATGTTTACTGCTCCAAAATATTTTAAATGTTTCTCAAAATAAAATATACTGTGTTCAAAGAGGATAAAAGTAATCGTTTTTTACCCAGACATTTAAAAGAATATATTTTAGAGCGGTTATCACAATACTGTGAAATTTAAGGTTATCACACCGTCAGAATCTTATTCCGGCCCATGCCCAGTGTGGATGTAGATCACTTTCGTTCTAGAACCTCATTTTAAAACAGATGTATTAGTGTAAACGGGGCCTCAGTGTGTATTATTTGGGAGCGGGTTACTGCTGCGATGGCGGCAGCCGGTGGAGGAGGGTGATGCCAGCTTAGCATCATGAAGTTTATCGGCAATCTGCAATCAACGATGGCATCATCTATCGACCCAACCCTAGTGTAAAGTAAGGTTGCACGGTTTACTGCTACTATTGTAGTATTGCGATACTCTGACTCCAAAATACTGGCGGAGCCACTGTAGTTTGTAAACGCTAGTGTTGTCTAGGGCTGCACGATTAATCGAAAAAAGATCACGATCTCGATTCAACCCTACACACAATCCAAATTCAGCCCACTATATTTTCAAGGTCAGGAGAGTTGTCAATGGCAGATGACAAGAACATGTCTCAAACTTAATAATTCAGTTTTATAATTATGAATATTATTCTGATGTCATCATTTTTCTGTGAATTAACAAACAGGATATATTGAAAGTCTGTTTAAGTCCACCATAATACGAAGTTTAGCATTTTAAGCAACAGTAGAGCTGCACACAGGCCAAATATTGTATTGTTGTTTTACCATATGTTTGAGAATTAACAATAATAATAGGCTAATCATATTAACCTTTAATTTACATCTACAGAATCTTGAGAAAGAATTGTGATCTTGACTTTAAGCAAAAAAAAATCCTGATTCACATTTTCACCAGAATCGTGCAGCCCTAGTGTTGTCATTAATGGATAATGTTGTGTGTGGAAAATTCACTAAAATGCTCACACGTTTGTGCAACACTAGACCATTTTATTTTAATAGTCTGTGTTGAGCCCTTTAAGGTTGCATAAGTGTGTAGAATTCACACCTTTTATGGTAGCCTAATGCACGCTTTCTAACGCTTCACACATCTGAATCAGCTCATTTGTGTTCCTGTTAATGTGATTTAGTAGCCACAACAACCCCGACAATCTCTTAAAAGGAGTGACATTTTGAGTTACTTTGGATTGTTGCCTGATAAAACTGGAAAAAAACAACAGATGAAAAACTCAAAAATGCTGTATTTGTAACAAATTTCATTTGGTAAGGTTTGTATCTTTATTTTAATGTGTTTTTGTTGGTCAGTGATCTAAAAAATAAACAAAACAATGAATACATTTCAGGTGAAGTGACGTGCAATGTTTTTAATAATATGAGAATTATGAATTCAATACAAGTAGGCCTATTACAACATAAAATACAGCATTTCTAACAATTTTTAAAATAATTTGAGTTATGAATTACAGTATCACGATACTACTTGGTATCGAGAAAATTCAGATGGTATAGTATGATAAGATGACTTCATGGTATCGCGACAACCCTGGTGTGAAGGTGGTCGAACAAGTCTTTCCATAGTTTAATATACATTGCTCAGCAACATGGACACCTCCAAATAGTGTTGAAAGTGTCTCAAACTGACAAAATCTCCCTCTAAAGACATTTGAAGTAAACATATTTCCAGCATGAAGATCTTTTTGTAGTATTTTGATACACTTGTTATAAAAAATAGCAGCCTACTGAATATCAATATTTTGCTGGTAATAAATTTAGAGATTCCAGTATCTGGACAACACTACACCTCAGGTAATCACTCCAATGAAGATGTGTGTAGCTTTGTATCACGTTGCCTAATAACTCACACTATAGAATAAATCATATTTTATAGATTACACTATTCAAACAGAAACTGCAAATCAGGAGGAGATAGGAGGCTCAAGAGGCATGATCTGGCCCATAACAGACTAGTAAATGAGAAGTGGGTTCATTTATCAATGTTTTTGCCTTTTTGGTGTAACAATAATATCCAGCTAACGACAGTCTTGTTAAATTAGGCGGTAAATATGCGGTGGTGTGTGTATTGTATAGTGTGTGTGCTGTAATGTGTGTGTGTGTGTGTGTGTCTCCATCATCCACAGACCTGTGTGTTCCTCCGGCTCTTCCTTCTTCAGGGTTGAGGCTTCTTCTTCTTCATCTCCACACGGCTCAGGAATCCGCACTTCTTCGCTCTCCTCTTTTATAAACTCAGTCTTGACAGCAGTGTGTGCAGAAGACATCATTTAATAACTAAACACACTGATTTCGGCCTGTGTGCGGACTCTCTGAATAGTCTCCGTCGCTTTTAGGAGATTCGCGGCATTTTTCGCCTCAGTTCATGAACTGCTTCCTTCTGTGGATTAAATGCTGTCCTTACTGAGATGTAGCCGCGGGATATATGATTATTAATCTCCGTTATGGAGTATAAAGAGTGCGGAGGTTAATGCTAACAACAAGATGGCAACAGTCGTGCTGCGTTTCTTCTTCTGCTGCAGCTTCTGGAGTTTTAGTGATGGTGGGAAAGTTTTACATCAGCGCCTCCTACTGGAGTGAGCAGACCCTGCAGGAGAGTTTATCTAAAGCAGGGGTGTCAAAATCGATTCCTGGAGGGCCGCAGCTCTGCACAGTTTAGTTCCAACCCTGCTCTAACACACTTACCTGTAGGTTTCAAACAAGCCTGAAGGACTCAATTAGTTTGATCAGGTGTGTTTAATTAGGGTTGGAACTAAACTGTGCAGAGCTGCGGCCCTCCAGGAACTGAGTTTGACACCTGTGATCTAAAGCATGGGTCTCAAACTGGATTCCTGGAGGGGCCACAGCTGATCCACTAATGAAGGTGTTCAGGACTCTTTCGAACAGCTTGATTAGTTGGATCAGCTGTGTTTGATTAGAGTTGGAGTAAAACTGCAGAGCCGCGGCCCTCCAGGAATCCAGTTTGAGAAGCACTGATCTAAATAACCTGCCAATGGGGACAGCAAAATAATCTTGTTTTTGCTTTGACGTAAGATTATTTTGAAAAACTCACTTCATTTTCACTCATATTTCTCAAAATAAGACAATATTTTAACCTGTCTGCAAATAAATGAGCATTTATTTCCAGTGTGTATATCACTGTATAGCTCACAGCTCATTTCTGAAAGCAGTCTGCAGGAACTCTTTGACTGATATTCTCTCTTTAACGCTGAACAAGCAGAGACAGCAAACACCTTTATTAACTGAGAGAGCATGGAGGTGCCTCCACAACTTCTGTCATCACTATATTTTACAGGGAAACCAAAATGTTTTAACACATGTGCTGTGAATGAGCAGGCAGGCGATCACCCTGCGAACGTTACAGATTCAGGATTCATCTACAAGTACAAAATAAGATTATTAATCTGCGGGTCACATCACAACATCACCTCAGTAACCCTGCAATTGAAAAACTGATGTTTATCAGATGAAGTCAGGATTATTCTCCCTCCCGTGATTTTTCTTTTCCTTTTAAATATTTCCCAAATAATGTTAAAGAGATTTAGAAAAATGTTCACAGTATTTCCTATAATATTTTTTCCTCTGGAGAAGGTCATAGTGGTTTTATTTGGGCTAGAATAAATGCAGTTTTTAATCATTTTAAAGTCATGTTAAGCTCAATATTATTCACCCCTTCAGCAATATTAGTGTTGATTGTCTCCAGAACAAACCACTGTTATACAATGACTTGCCTAATTACCCTAACTTTACCCTAATTACCCTAGTGAAGCCTTTACATGTAGGCATCCAGGACGCATCCGAAACAGATGCCAGAGCAACTTCAGCTGGCTTCTCTGGATGTGGAGGAGCAGCGGCTCTACATTAAGCTCCTCCCGGGTGCAGAGCTCCTCACCCTGTCTATAAGAGTGTGCCCTGCCACCCAGTGGAGGAAACTCATTCAGCTGCTTGTATCCGAGATCTTGTCCTTTCAGTCCTGACCCAAAGCTCATGAGCATAGCTGAGAGTAGGAGTGTAGATTGACCGGTAAATCAAGAGTTTTGCCTTTCAGCTCAGCTCCTTCTTTACCGCAACAGACCAGTACATCGACCGCATTACTGCTGCACCAATCCACCTGCAAATCCCACACTCCATCCTTCCCTCACTCATGAACAAAACCCCAAGATACTTGATCTCCTCCACCTGGGGTAAAAACTTTCCTCCAACCTGGAGATGGCAAACCACCTTTCTCCAGTGCAGCACTATGGCCTCGAACTTGGAGGTGCTGATTCTCATCCCAGCCGCGCCACACCTCAGGGAAGACCCAGGGCATGCTGGAGGGACTTTAGCCCCTTTCACACATACAGACCTTTTGTTGTAGGTTGTATGTGTGAACAGGTCCTTTTTGAAAATACCGGTAAATTCGTTCTGGCTATTTTCCGGAAAGAGAAGTTGTAACATTACCGGCAATTTGCCGGAATGCTGCGCTGTGTGAATGCAGAAGGAAGATTGCCGTAATAAGCGCGTGCACGTCTAGAACGTGCTGACGTGAGACGTCTGCTTTAGCCAATCACAACAGTCAGACGCATTTACGTCCGCGCGGTTTGTGAGAATAAAAGCCTTTGAATATTTTTCCAGACACATTTAGCTGCTAGAAGTTAGTCAGATCCCTTTTATATGTTCTTCTTAATGCCAACTGTGTAAATAATCATCGATGAGATGCTTATGATAAGCCGTTGTTTGTTTACCTTCAAGCTTTGCGTGTGCCTGTGAAACAGCCTGTGAGCGCCGGCACACGCACATATAATGAACATCTCGACATGCGAAAGTGATCCTGCGAAAGTTGTTCACAATATTGATCATCCACAGAGTCTGTAATTTAGTCAAATGTTTACAAACACAAGCGCAGCCGTTTAAAGCTCATTTCTGGTTAATGATGTCAGAATTTACCGGTATTTTGGAATGATGTGTGAATGCTCTTTTCCGGAAAATTTCCGTAACGTCCTCGCCTGTGTGAACAGCGCTTTTTTGAATTTACCGGTGAAGTCGTTCCGGAAGTTTTCCGGATATTTACCGGTATCACTGTGTGAAAGGGGCTTATGTCTCTCGGCTGGCCTGGGAACGCCTCGGGATCCACCTGGAGAGCTGGAGGAAGTGTCTGGGGAGAGGGAAGTCTGGGGTTATCTTGTGAGACTTCTGCCCTTGCGACCCGGCCCCGGAAAAGTGGCAGAAAATAAACGAAGGAATCAATGAAAGCTTTTAAATGTCAAAGATAAAAGAAATCCGTTATTAGAAATTAATAATTAAAACTATTATGTCTAGAAATGTGTTTAAACATCTCTCTGTTAAGCAGAAATTGGGGATAAATTCTAAAATAATTCAAATTTAACAGGAGGGTTAATAATTCAGACTTCATCTGTGTGTGTGTATATATATATTTGAGAAGCTCTGATCTATGAGGAGAACCAGGAGATGGGCTTGAGGTCGCTGTGGATCTTCATGTGCTGATCAAGACTGGACTTTATTGTGAAGCTTTTCCCGCATCTCTGACAGCGGAACGCTTTGACTCCGGTGTGGCTCCACATGTGTCCTGTCAGACTGTCTTTATCCGAATAACTGCGTCCGCACTGCTGGCACACAAACGACTTGGGGGGGCGGTGGACCTTCTGATGGTACCTCAGGCTGTATTTATAGGTGTAGCTCTTGCCGCACTCATCACAGCGGAACGGCTTCTTGATCTCGTGGATCCTCATGTGATCAGTAAGACTGTCTTTACTAGAGAAACCCGCTCCGCAGTCCTGGCACACGTGGCGCCTGCAGTCGCTGTGCTGCTTGGTGTGATTGTTCAGGCTTTGTTTATAAGCGAAGCTCTTCCCGCATTGCTCACAGGAGAACGGCTTCTCCACCTTGTGTATTCTGTAGTGCTCCAGCAGATGTTTCCTACAGGAGAACTTCCTGAAGCACTGATGGCAGAACATCGGCTGTTTCTGCACGGTGCTGGTGTGCGTCTGCGAGGAGCTTTCTCCAGTGTGGACCCTGAAGTGCTCCATCAGATGCTCCTTGGTCTCGAAGCTCATCTGGCACTCGAGGCAGGAGAAGAAAAAGCCTTTTCCTTTCTGAACTCGTAGTTGTGAAAATCTGCTCACGATCTTTGAGCAGCTCAAGAACTGAGGCGGCTCATAATCCCCGAGATCCTCGTCATCGCTCAGCTCTTCGCTTTCCTCCATCTGAGCTTCCTCCTTCACCTCGATCTGATCTGAAGGGAACAGAACACACACAATAACAACGGTCGAGCATGTGTGGGTGCAATTTAAAACAATATCCAAGCTAGTATTAAACACAAATTAATTCCATAAGAGGGTGTGTTCACACGTATGCGCTTAACGACATACTTTACATGCCAATTTGCACATAACAGCTGCACATATGATGCTGTATAGACTATTCTGAGGAATGTAAACATAGACAATAGTCCCAATATATTTCCTGTTTCACATATTTTAAATTTCAACATCTTCCGAGAATCCAAAAACATCCACATGTTGATAAGTAATGTTATGAGAGCTGTTTTAACATTGAGGAATGATTGAATTACCTCCTGTTACAGTAATGAAATAGCAGGAAATGTTCGTGAGTCAATAACATCACCACGTTAAATGGTCTATATAGCAATATACCTGTGCACTTGCCTATATATGGATGTTGGACTTTTTGACCAATAGGTAGGCCCAGATGGAATTCCCAATATAATGTTAACATATATACTTTCTATGTGAATTTATGTTTGAGTTTTTACTGCAAATAACGCTGGAATTGCTCATATATATTTTATACTACACATTTTACAGAATTGCAAGGTTGAAAATCAGTAAACCCAACAATTAACAAAACAAATAATAAGGGGCTAGATGTATTCAAAAGGATAGAGATCATAGGAAAATGGCACATGATATTAGACTATAATTTTGACAGAAGAACTATTAAAAAATAATGTTTTAGAAACAAGTGTTGAAGTCATTGCTAACTGATGCTGAGGAAATGAGTGAAATCTGACTATTAATAGACAAGAGTCTTACTTGATCCTCTATAAAATAGTGCTACGATTTTATTATTGATCATGAGTAAAAACGTAATATGGCTTTTTATTATGAGGAGATTATCGCGGTCATCCATCCCTCTCTATGCGATCTGTGATTAGCTGCTATGGCTAAAAACAATAACCGAGTCATCCAGACCTGTGTGTTCCTCCGGCTCTTCCTTCTTCAGGGTTAAGGCTTCTTCTTCTTCATCTCCACACGGCTCAGGAATCCGCACTTCTTCGCTCTCCTCTTTTATAAACTCAGTCTTGACAGCAGTGTGTGTTGAAGACATCATTTAATAACTAAACACACTTATTTGGCGCTGAGAGGAAAAGAGTGTCCGTCGCCTTCAGCAGGGCAGGAATATTCGCGCTCTTTCTGACTGGATTCGCGCTCTTTCCAGCTGGACAGTAGATGCGTGTTTACTGAACAGATCCAGAGTCAGTTTGAGTTTAATATCTGCTGTTTTACTCTGTTAATGAGCAGAATGTTGAGCAGAAACACACCGAAGCTACTGCTACTGCTGCTGGCTCTTCTTCTGGAGGTTTAGTGACGGTTGTAAACAGTTTTACAGCATCAGCGCCACCTAGAGTGGGCAGGGACTGACAGAGGGCACATGATAGTCAGCATTAGATTCTGAATTCTGCATTTCTTACAAAACCCAAAAGGCTATTCTGTTGAACTTTTCTAAGTTGACATTAACAATAAACAAATATTGATCATCAAATTCTCATGTTATTCTGATCTTTGAAGGGACATGAACAGGGCTGGTGTTCTGTCGATTTGGCCTACCCTGTCAGATTGACCTAACCCCCAATTCAAAAAGTAGGCAGCACATTTTGATGACGCAATATGCAGATTTCACTACCAGTGTAAATTTTAATGTGGAGTAGTGTGATATGAAGCTGTAATATCTCCCTAACCTACCTAATACCTAACCCCAACCTCAAAACCATCTAATTATTAACTGGTAGCATAACCTGATGGGTAAGATTAAATGTCAGGACATTGGCGCATCCATAGAGGCAACCTAAGCGGCCCCGATAACCCATTCACACGGGGCTTCAGCTTTAACGCTTGACTGAAGACATGTCTGAAGTTGGGGCTGAAGCGATCGTCATAGCAGCGTCAGCCAATGAAATTCAGTCACCAAAAGGCCACTGTCTAGCTGGTGTATTTGCATACAGCGATCTGATTGGCTGACGCTTCCGTTGGCGCTTAAAAAGTTGAGCAAGTCCCAACTTCTACAGCGAGCAACGCCTCTAAAGCGGCGACAATGGATCCACAATGCAGTTCGGCAACGCCTGACATCACCCATTTAAAGTGATGGGGAAGCGTTGACGCTGATGCCCCGTGTGAATGGGGGGTAAGATACAGTGTTCATCTGGAGTCAGACCTACAGCCAAAGAGAGGTAAGAATGTTTTCAAGAGGAAAATCTATAATTCACATTTATATTACACATGCACAATCAAAACACGTTCATAAAGATCAACTAGGCCTGTCATCATATCTAATTTTTGTGGTACGATATATAGCACCAAAATGCATTGCCATACACAATATTATTGGCATTTTAAGACCATTTTGACACTACAATATCGTCACAATGCATGTACTCTTCCAAAGAACACATAACATATTATTCTTAAGAATATTTCACTTAATTAAATTCATTTTAACAAGTTAATAATTAGGCATTGGAATCAAATAAAAAACGTATATTCTAAATAAACAAATAAATAATAATAATAAAATGTTAAAATGTCCAAGGTCAAAAGAACTACAAAAAAAGTATAATATAATATAATAATTTATAGTGAACACTATAATGTTTTTTACCCATACTGACACTGACACCTCCAATAGAGATAGAAAGGCTGTGCCATCAGCTGAAATGTGGCTAGAGTTGATGTTTATGTATGGCCGATATATAATGCATCACCAAAAATGTGCATGTGTTGTGTGATCAGTCGATATATTGATTATTGTGACAGGCCTAAGATCAATAAATGTGTTTTTTTTTTATGTAAAAATCTTATTTGCAAAACTTTTTTGTGAAAAACTAATTAAATTATATTGGTTATTATAATGTTTCAGTTCGTTCATTCACTTTCTTTTTGGATTATTAATCAGTGGTCGCCACATCGGAATGAACCGCCAATTTAGCTTGTTCAATTCCCCTATAGCGCACGTGTTTGGACTGTGGGGGAAGCCGGAACACCCTGAGGAAACCCATGGCAACACAGGGAGAACAAGCAAACTCCACACAGAAACACCAACTGACCCATCTTTGGCTCGAACCAGCGACCTTCTAGCTGTGAGGCGACACTGCGCCACCGTGCAGCACATGTTTCAGTTTAAAATGTATATTTTCCCTCTTCATTTTGTCCACATCAAAACAAGATGTATCTAGAAAACGGTCAAGAAATTAAATTAAACAATTCAGCAAAAATTGAGAATTTTCAAAAATGATGCAGTTATAGTCATGTGACCAGCTCAGCGTAAATATCGGATGGCATTGTTCCATTCTAAAAACTCTCTTTCCTTGACTTACTGCAGAGATGTTTTAAAGAGTGCAATGCAGACTAATCTTACAGTACTGAAATGTAAACATTTGTACACTCGAGAGCCACTGCCATTCACCAGCACCAACCACTATGAGGAGAACCAGGAGATGGGCTCGAGTTCGCTGTGGATCTTCATGTGCTGATCAAGACTTCCTTTATTCAGGAATCTCTTTCCACACCTCAGGCATGGGAAAGGCTTCTCTCCGGTGTGGGTCCACATGTGTCCAGTCAGACTGTCTTCATCCAGGTAACTGCGTCCACACTGCTGGCACACAAACGGCTTCAGTCCAGTGTGAAACTTTAAGTGATTCTTGAGGCTGCGCTTCTGACTGTAGCTCTTCCCGCACTCCTCACACTGATACGGTTTATCTCCTTCGTGAATCCTCATGTGATCAAAAAGGCTGTCTTTATTAATATAACTCACCCCGCAGAGCTGGCACACGTGCGGAGTGAAGCCGGAGTGCAGTTTGGCGTGATTCGTGAGGTTGTGTTTGTGAAGGAACCGCTTCCCGCACTCCTCACACTGGAAGGGTTTCTCCAGCTTGTGTATTCTGTAGTGCTCCAGCAGATGTTCTTTACGGGTGAAGCTCCTGAGACACTGATGACAGAAGAACACTACAGCTCTCTCCGCGCTGTTCTCCGATGCTTGCGTGGAGCTTTCTCCAGTGTGGACCCTGAAGTGCTCCATCAGGTGCTCCTTAGACTCGAAGCTCATCTGGCACTCGAGGCAGGAGAAGAAAAAGCCTTTTCCTCGTCGAGCTCTTTTCTGAGTAAAGCTGGTGCCGATTCTCGAGCAGCTTAAATACTGAGGCTGCTCGTAGTCCTCGTCCTCATTCTGTTCTTTAGCTTGCTCCTTCACCCCGATCTCACTTTGCTCATCTTTGACCTGAGTTTCGTCCTTCATCTTGATCTGGTCTGAACGGAACACAAGAAAATGGACAATCATAAAACTATCAATTGATATCGTTCAGTCTCGTAAGCTGTGTGGAGACCTGGTGGGCTAAAAACATTGAGCCGTAATGGCGGCTACACTGAGATCTCCATAGGAGTGCAGCACAATCCGCTCATTCGTTTTATCTGTTTTGAGATCAACAGTTGGATCACAAATCATCAAAACAGAGAGATGATCACAAACTGTAAATTGTGTGCACTTTTAATCCAGACACTGCTGTTTTTGACTGTAGCACATGAACTCCATCATGAATGAAATTAATCGGATGCTTGTTTGCAGTAAAAATTCTTAATTTAATAACACTCATTTTTACATTTGTGAGTCTCTTTGCTCAAAAATCTGTTTGAAGGGCTGTGTGAGCCTCACAGAGTAAATAATGACAGAATTTACATTTTAGTGTGAACTATCCCTTTAATTACCATTATTACTGCTGTTTCACAGTGTGAATCTGCATTTTCATTCAGCCTGTGTAAGTGTATCGCCACATTCACACGGGGCTTCAGCGTCTACGCTTCCCATTCACTTTGAATGGGTGACGTCAGGCATTGCCGATCTGCATTGTGGATCTGTCGGCGCCGCTTTAGAGGCGTTGCTCGCTGTAGAAGTTGGGACTTGCTCAACTTTTCAAGCGCCAACGGAAGCGTCAGCCAATCAGATCGCTGTAAGCAAATACACCAGCTAGACAGTGGCCTATTGCTGACTGAATTTCATTGGCTGACGCTGCTATGACGATCGCTTCAGCCCCAACTTCGGACACGTCTTCAGTCAAGCGTTGTCGCTGAAGCCCCGTGTGAATGGGGCATATGATTTACTGCTTTGAATTTTTTATTTTGAACAATTTAATAAGTCATGGCACAGTGGTTAGCACCTTGGCCTCACAGTAAGAATATCGCTGGTTCGAGTCTCGGCTGGGTCAGTTGGTGTTTCTGTGTGGAGTTTGCATGTTCTCCCCGTGTTGGCGTGGGTTTCCTCCGGGTGCTCCGGTTTCAGTCCAAACACATGCACTATAGGGGAACTGATCAACTACACTGGCCGTACTGTATGTGTGTGTAAATGAGTGTTTCCCAATTTTGGATTGCAGCTGGAAGGGCATCCGCTGTGTAAAACATATGCTGGAATAGTTGGTGGTCCATTCCGCTGTGTCGACCCCTAATTAATAAAGGGACTAAGCTGAAGGAGAATGAATGAATTTAGCAAGTCTAAAGACTTGTTTCTACTTTTATTCTGAAAATATAACATCTAACTGAAATCTAAGACCGCTTTTGCTAATGTAGCACCTAAAGGGAGGTGCTCATTTACATTTTTGTTATAATAAACGTACCTTTATATCATGACTCAATTTACCTAGCTATCATTTTTATGACGACCTAGATAGAAATGGACGGAACAATGGCTAAAGATAACTGTTGTGCTGTAAAAAGAAGTTCTGAGACGTCATAATACCACAACCCAGCTCTTAAATCGGGAATATTCCTTTACAGACAGTCTTATTAAATTAATCAGTAAATATCCTGTAATGTGTGTGTGTGTGTGTGTGAGAGAGAGAGAGAGAGAGTGAGAGAGAGAGTCTCTCCATCATCCACAGACCTGTGTGTTCCTCCGGCTCTTCCTTCTTCAGGGTTGAGGCTTCTTCTTCTTCATCTCCACACGGCTCAGGAATCCGCACTTCTTCACTCTCCTCTTTTATAAACTCAGTCTTGACAGCAGTGTGTGCTGAAGACATCATTTAATAACTAAACACACTGATTTGGCGCTGAGAGGAAAAGAGTCTCCGTCTTCTTCAGCAGGGCAGGAATATTCGCGCTCTTTCTGACTGGATTCGCGCTCTTTCCCGCTGGACAGTAGATGCGTGTTTACTGAACAGATCCAGAGTCAGTTTGAGTTTAATATCTGCTGTTTTACACTATTACTGAGCAGAATATTAAAGAGAAACACACTAAAGCTGAATCCTCTTCTTCTGCTGGAGTATTAGAGTCGGTTGTAAACACAGTTTTACAACATTAGCGCCACCTACTGAAGTGAGCCAATCAGTTGTATTAAATGATTTTTAAATAGTTTACATTAATCCTTGAATATAGCAAAGCGTATAACATTCCCAAATAGATTTTGAGTACTGTGTTTCTTCAAAATTCAGTTTCTCTGAATATGTTAATTTATTGAGCTCTTAATTTGTTACTGAAAATGTTATTTTGAACTTTGGTTATTTTGAACCATTAATAAGACATTCCTGAAAAATAATCACTGATAATAATCAGTAAATGTTGTTAATCAAAATCTCATATTATACTGATTTCTTTAAAATAGTGTCCATTTAGGCTTTTAAGATGACCGTAAAGCATATTAAACTAATTTAAGCATTTAATATAATAATTTAAACATTTGATCACACAAATACTGACTCATATGTATCAGATTCAACAGTTTTGATTGTAATTGTCACAACTGCACTGTAAAAATATCCGTTAATAAACATTTTGTTGTGTTTTGAGTTTGACATGAATCTGGCAAAAACACAAAATAGGCAGAATAATGTACTCCAGTAAGTTGGAAATGCTTACCCACTTCATATCGTGACCACATGAGCTAAGCTTTAATGCAATAACTCCACTGCATGTCAATTATTCCTTACATAACACAACATATGAGCATTGATTATGGAAAATGAGCAGTTTGGATCTTTCGATGCTTCAGGATCCAATTCCAAAATGATTATAGACCTACATTGCTTTCCTATGTCTTCAGCTGTGTTAATACTTTACATTTGAAGATGGGGTGGAGTTAAATTAGGTTCTCACCACCAACATAAAGAGCAAATCAATTCCCTTGTCCACTGCCGATGCTTTTTCTGCTTCTATCTTGCACACACCAGACATGCACCATCGCAATCTAATTTAAAAACAGAATCAACTCTGAATGAATACAGAAATAATCACCATACATCAAAGAATCAATGCATTTCTCCCAGCCAATGAGCTGGAGTGGCCTCGCCAGAGCCCAGACCTAAACCATATTGAACATCTCTGAGAGATCTGATTAGCCAAGAGAGATTGCCTTGAGTTCATTCTGGCTTGTTTTGATTGTGAAGCACTTTTCACTCTTTGGGAAATGCTTCTCTCCAGTGTGACTCCACATGTGATCAATCAGATCATCTATATCTTATTTATCTCTAACTCCATCCACACAAATGGTTAAAGGCCAGTGTGGACTTTAAGGTGATACGTAAGACTGTGTTTATGAGTGTAAGACCTCTCACACTGATCACACTTGAATGGTTTGTCTAGTTCGTGGATCCTCAAATGAATAATAAGGCTGTCTTCATGGATGTAGCCCTTCCCACAGTGCTGGCATACGTAAGGTCTCAGATCAGTGTGAGAGTTGGCATGATTTGCGAGGCTTTGCTTATGGTAGAAACTCTTCCCGCACTCTTCACAAGGAAAGGGCTTCTCCACCTTGTGTATTCTGTAGTGCTCCAGCAAATGTTCTCTACAGGAGAACTCCCTGAAGCACTGATGGCAGAACATCGGCTGTTTCTGCAATGTGTTTGTTTGCGTGGAGCTTTCTCCAGTGTGGACCCTGAAGTGCTCCATCAGGTGCTCCTTAGACTCGAAGCTCATCTGGCACTCGAGGCAGGAGAAGAAAAAGCCTTTTCCTCTTCGAGCTCTTTTCTGAGTCAAGCTGGTGCCGATTCTCGAGCAGCTTAAATACTGAGGCTGCTCGTAGTCCTGAAGATCCTCGTTTAGTTTAATCTCAATCTGAGCTGAAAATAAGAGAATAAAAAGTTAAAGCAGAAACTAATGACGGAACTGGAAGAAAACAAAGCTGCAGGATATCTGGGAAAAAAGGACATTACAATATTTAGTTTTTCTGTGTAAAAAATTCACATGATTGCTTATAACCATACTGGGAAAATTCATACTTTTATATTGATTGGGATTATTTTGTAAAAGTTTACACAGCAGAAAACGCTTTTCAAAGGATTCATTTTGTTTTTTTCTTAATCCAAAATATCTACAAATGCTTAAATCAAGAAGCATTTTATAGACAAGCAAAAACATGGTCTTGTTTTCAAAAACAATTAGTCAAAATTCAAAAACGAGCAAAAAAATAAACCAACAAACGAGGTAAGAAAAATAATTTCACATAAGATTATTCTGCTTTACCGAGTTGGCAGATTATTTTCAGAAAAACGTCCCTCAATTTTGACTCATTATTTCCTAAAACAACACAATGCGTTTTGCTTGTCAAGAAAATGTTTCTTGATTGAAGAATTTTTAAATATTTGGACCAAAAACAAGCTACGAAAATCACATTTAGGTGTAAAAAAACAATAGAAAGATATAAGAAAAAGTAGAACTGTATGTGATGCCACTGTGACCTGTTCCTTATTACATATACATATATACATATATATATATATATATATGTGTGTGTGTGTGTGCTTTTTTGTGTGTGTATCAAATAATTATGTAAAAGGTAATTTACATAAAAGATACTCCAAAAAATGTGTATAAAATGTCCACAGACCTGTGTGTTCCTCCGGCTCTTCCTTCTTCAGGGTTAAGGCTTCTTCTTCTTCATCTCCACACGGCTCAGGAATCCGCACTTCTTCGCTCTCCTCTTTTATAAACTCTGTCTTGACAGCAGTGTGTGTTGAAGACATCATTTAATCATTAAACACACTTATTTAGCGCTGAGAGGAAAAGAGTCTCCGTCGCCTTCAGCAGGGCAGGAATATTCGCGCTCTTTCTGACTGGATTCGCGCTCTTTCCTGCTGGACAGTAGATGCGTGTTTACTGAACAGATCCAGAGTCAGTTTGAGTTTAATATCTGCTGTTTTACTCTGTTAATGAGCAGAATGTTAAAGAGAAACACCAAAGCTGAGAGGCTCTTCTTCCGGAGTGTTGGTGATGGTTGTAAACACAGTTTTACAGCATCAGCGCCACCTATATGACGTCGGTAAGTGTGCACACAGCCGATACTGAAAAGGGGATTTAAAATGTTTAAATATTAAAAGAGTAATATCTGAATTATTAACAAAGTCATTGTGCCAAAACAATTGAATAGAAGAGACTTCACACGTAAGTCTGAGTGCAATAAAATTTCACCCAAAAATGAAAATGTACTCTCTAATTACTCTCAAGTGCTTTCAAACCTTTATCTTTATTTTTTCTTGAACACAAAATCAGTTATTTTGAAGAAAAACCATGGAGAACATAGAAAACCTGTAACCATTGACTTCCATAGTAGGAAAAACAAATACGAGTCAACTATTAAATGTTTCCAGCATTTAACACATCTCCTTTTATGTTCAACAGAAGAAAGAAACTCATAAAGATTTGAAACAAGTACAGGGTGAGTAAATGATGACAGACTTTTCATTTTTGGGTGATATCTCACTTTAAGATTCTATATGTGAAATAGTTTTTTGATATATGTTTTACAGCTTCTGTAAAGTTTAAGTATGCAGTAATACACGTTTCAATTTTGAAAATCTGAAGCATAATGGGCTTCAAAACTGAAATCTTCAAAAGTACAGTTTATTAAAAATCAAAATCATTCAACATTATATTAAAATATATTTGATACACATTGAGTTACATGCATACAAACCGAAAAATAAAACACGTGTGCATTTATTCAGACAAAGAAGACATTTTCTAGTCTCAATATTTGATCATCAGACATTCAAACTTTGGGAAAAATTATATTTTTGGCATGTTACATGGAACTGAAAAGAAATAAAAAGAAAAGAAATGGCACATATTTCTAGTCTCAACAAGGCAAAAAGTATCTGCTATATTTGGTTTTTGGCCACTGAAAATGTGTACGATTCATAACAATAAGTATACCAAACGAACCAAGTATGCCTTTGTTAAGAAACAAAATCTAAACTAATTTCAACAAAACTTTAGTTACACGCATGCAACATTTAGGTAAAAAAAAACAAAACACAAGTTTCCCATTTGAGCAAAAGATTTTCTTCAATCTCTTTGCAAAAAATAACACAATAATCAAATCATTAAAAGTGTTTTCTCATTAAATATGCATTAATAGAATTTAATATTTTGTATTCTTAATAAAAACTATTAACAATTATTCTTTTTGGCTCAACAATTGTGCTATTCTTTACTATTTCTTCCACCCGCAAAAGCACCGTCACCTTGATTTACCATTGAATGTGTCGTAAAATGCATTTGTGCATTTTGTTAAATTGTTCTCTAACTTCTACATAGAAGCTATGTGGTTTAAATAAGTGCAAAAAGTCTTCAGGAATAGTTTTACGTGTGCATTTACGACCCTTGGATTTCCCCCTAGAATAAAACACTCTGCTTTTACCTTATTTGGAAGGGTCATGAATATTAATGAGCTCTGCTTTGATTGTGCATGTCTCATTTCACTGACTAGCTGTTTACATTGCACGTCCATTACCAAGGCAGCGATCGACGAATATTTACATTTGTAATTTTTTAACAAAAGTATTGTGATCTGCTTGCTGGGGCCACGCCCCCTGTCGTGTCCCCGCCCACTGCAGTAGTTTATAATTTGCATTTTAATTAATATTTTGTAAATTAGATGAATTTGAAAACAAAGTAAGTTTTTTTGTAAGTGCACTGAATTCTCATGTAATTTCTTCACACATTACATTAATAAACACACTGTACAACAGGCATGTGTCATTAATATCCTGCTGTAAAAGCTTGTCTAAAGACACTTCATGTGTAACAAATGAAGCTTTGTTTTGTTTTTCATAATAAAAATAACAGTCCAGAGGCCAGAACCATGAAGCAGGATTAGCTGATTACGCTTCAGTTTAGTTTGAATCAATCCTGGATTTTAGGTATCATGATTGTAGCTAAAAATTTAATCATTTTTTGTTGCCATGGTAACCTATGCTGCACAGCTAATCCTGCTCTGGGGCAGGTTATGGTCATCATGTTACAGTATGTTCTGGTTATGTTCCGGATATTTTCTGGACATGTTTAGGTTATGTTCGGGATATGTCATAGTAATGTTCAGGTTTTTTCTGGATATGTTATTGGCATGTTCATGTTATGTTCTGGACATGTACTAGTTCTGTTCTGGATATGTTCTGGACATGTACTAGTTATGTTCTGGATATTTTCTGGATATGTTCTGGACATGTTCTAGTTCTGTTCTGGATATGTTCTGGACATGTACTAGTTATGTTCTGGATATGTTCTGAACATGTACTAGTTCTGTTCTGGATATGTTCTGGACATGTACTAGTTCTGTTCTGGATATGTTCTGGACATGTACTAGTTATGTTCTGGATATGTTCTGAACATGTACTAGTTCTGTTTTGAATATGTTCTGGACATGTACTAGTTATGTTCTGGTTATGTTCTAGATATGTTCTGGATATGTTCTGGACATGTTCTGGACATGTTCTAGTTCTGTTCTGGATATGTTCTGGACATGTACTAGTTCTGTTCTGGATATGTTCTGGACATGTAGTAGTTATGTTCTGGATATGTTCTGGACATGTACTAGTTATGTTCTGGTTATGTTCTAGATATGTTCTGGATATGTTCTGGACATGTACTAGTTATGTTCTGGTTATGTTCTGGATATGTTCTGGACATGTTCTAGTTCTGTTCTGGATATGTTCTGGACATGTACTAGTTATGTTCTGGATATGTTCTGGACATGTACTAGTTATGTTCTGGACATGTACTAGTTAGGTTCAGGATATGTTCTGGATATGTTCTGGACATGTACTAGTTATGTACTAGTTATGTTCTGGTTATGTTCTGGATATGTACTAGTTATGCAATGATTATGTTTTTATATATTCTGCACATGTTCTGGTTTAGTTTTAGATATGTTTTGGTTATGTTCATGTTATGTTTTGAAAATGTTCTGGACATGTTCAGGATATATTCTCGATATGTTCTGGTAATGTTCAGGTTTTGTTCTCGATGTGTTCTGGAATATTCAGGTTATGCTCTGGATATGTTCTGGACCTGTACTGGTTATATTCTGGTCATGTTCTGGTTTTGTTTTGGATATGTTCAGGACATGTTCTGGTTCAGAAATCACAAGCTAAAATTTAACCAGTCGGCTGTGCACAAAATGAGAAGTTAGAGAAGTGCACTTTAGAGAAGTGTGTTTATTGTAATTGTTTTAGATTATCTGTAATTAATGACACATAAGCAATTTTAGTTTAACCAATTTTACAGTTTTATTTATCTGAAATTTAAAGAAAGACGCTTATTATTAACTAGTAGACAACGCATTAAAACTATATATGAGCTTAGAGTTCAACTAAACAGACTAACTGTAGTAACACTAACAAAAGACAGCTCTGTTGTTAATGATCATGCTAGTTGATTGGCTGGTTACAGCTAGTGTTTGTTTACACTATGAGATGAACAATGCTCATTCAGACCACAGTGCTGAGACCCTTCATACGGACAGACAGCGGCACTTTCGAAACCTAGTTGTGAGGCCATTGCCTTTACATGTTTATTAAACAGTCTGTAAGACTTTAAATGAATGTCATTATCGGCATCGCATGAAAATGTAACTGTAGCATTGTATGCTAGAGAAGAGGAATTAGTCTTTAACTCTGTCAAAATAAAAGTCCCACTCTTAAAACATAGTGGACAAAAAATGCCTTAAACCACCAGTCCAAGCATAAAAAATGTCAGTATTTGTGAACACTCCTGTTCTTAAAGCACAATATTTATGCTTATTTTTTCAGCTTTGGACAAGCCTTTTTCAGGTGTTTCCCCAGATTTCCGTATCTGCTGAAAGTCTTCCCGCAGGAAGGGCAGAGGTACGGCTTCTCTCCAGTGTGCACTCGCTCGTGCACTTTCAAGGCCCCTGAAACTGTGAAGCTCTTTTCACAGTGTGAGCACTTGTAGGGCTTTTCTCCAGTGTGGATGCGCTCGTGCACTTTTAATTCTCCAGGTCTGATGAAAGTGCTCCCGCACTCCAAACACTCGTAGGGTTTCTCCCCAATGTGTGTCTTCTGATGGTCCTTAAAGCCATTGAGCCACAGGAAACTCTTCCCGCAGAAGGAGCACACGTACCGCCGCTCGTCCTCGTGAATCCTCATGTGTGTCTTTAAATGCACGGCCAGGAAAAACTTCTTCTCACACTTCTCACAGCTGAAGGGTCTTTCTCCAGTGTGTGACAGCAGGTGTGTCTTCAGATTGCACGCTTCAGCAAACCTCCTGCCGCACTCAGGACACTGGTGTAGCTTCTCTCCTGAATGCACCTTCATGTGTCTCTTCAGACTGTTGTGATGTGTGAAGCTCTTCCCGCACAGCAGACATGCGAAAGGTTTCTCCCCGGAGTGTATTTTAGCGTGCTCTTTCAGTCCTTCCTTCTGTGTGAAGCTCTTCTTGCACTGAGCGCAGTTGAACGGCCGCTCGCCGGAGTGTATCCGCACGTGTCTCCTCAGGTCTCCGGAGTTTGCGAAGCTCCTGTCACAGTGAGCGCAGGTGAACGGTCTCTCTCCGGTGTGGATTCTGATGTGCCTCTTCAGGTCTCTTTTACAGGTGAACGTCTTTCCACATTCTGGGCAGGCGTAGGGATTATTATCTTCTGTGTCTTCAGTCTGAGAGCAATTATCGGAGTTTTCTCCAGGCATTACATGATGAGGCTCCTGGAACGGACTCTCCTCCACTTCTTTTTGCGCTTCAGTTTCATCTTTCACTTCCACCTGGTCTTGAAGTAAAAAGAGCACAACATCAGAGAACGTGTTTATTTTTGAGCAATAATTGACCGGAGGCTGTTGATCATTAACCCTTGTGTGCTGCTGGGTCGATTTCATCCACTCTGGGCTGAGTTTAAGCCTTAATTTGGCCATAACCTCTCTGTGTGTCAGCAAATGGAAAGATTTTAGGAGAAAAATCTTATGTTGACACATATTCTGGGAAAATGCTCTGCAATATACACTCCGGGCAAATTTACTACTCTTCCATTATGTTGGTGGCTGTATTTGCTCTATTGACTTTAGTATCTATTGGCTCTATTGGCTCATTTTCGTTAGTAATTTTTGAATGTTAAAAAATAAATTCTGGCTCGCGTTGTGTCAATCGTGCTCCCACACTGCCTCCAAAACATTCATCTGTCATATACAATATTTGGGGTTGGATTTTTCCATTTTTCGCATCCGAAAGATCATTTTGAGGGGTGTTTTGACAATTCACTTGCCGCCAAATGGTAAAATCCAAAATGGCGTTGGAGAAATGCACTTGTTCTCACAACACAAAGCCCTTTATGATAAGCAAAGTATGGAATATAAAGACACGGCGTACAGACCAATCGTGATGGGTGACTGTGCTAAACTAGAACTGATTTTAAAATAAACAGTTTGTGAAAGATTATAAAGTAACGTTACTGAGGTAAACGATAGCTTGCTGCTATCGTTTTGTTTTGCAAATTATTTCGCAATGGATTCTTTAATACACATTGCTCTCTCTGTGTGCAAGGATTGGGTGTGTGACAATTTTTTTTTTTTTTGCATTTGAATATGAAAAGAACTCGTGTGAAAATTTCGACCTTTGGTGTGCAAAGACCTTAGTTCAGTACAATGACATATTTCCAAGTGAATATTGGGTAGGGGCGTGGTTTATTTTTTAGCACCTCCTTTCATCTTTTATAAGTGGCAAACTAACAGTTGGAGGGGCGTGGCTCAGCATATTTCACCCAATCAGTAAAACTGACATCACAAGAGAATAACTGCCATTCCAGAGCTGAAGCAGGTGTGCAGATTTTGATTAAAGATTACCAAATCAATTACATTAAATAATTGTCCTAGAAAAATGAGCATGGCAAATTTTGATTTCGGAACTTACAACCAATAAATCTAATGGAATATGGCTCAAAACACAAATGTACAAGGTTTGTGTGTTACAATATTATGCTTTGTAATGTTTTAAGGATTTTGTAGTGTTTTCTTTACCAGTAAGAAGATAAACACCAACCTGTTTGTTCTTCAGGATCTTCATCCTCCATTCTGCATGATTCTGCATCACTCATATCTTCACTGTCCTCCTTAACCATCTCCATCTTCACAGCAGATTCAGCTCTTTAGGCTTTCCTGCGTGTCTGTAAACGTGTCACGCTTAAGGTTGTGAATACTTCAATGTTTTTCTTACGTGTAGATTCGATTTACTTGCAGAAAAAACATATTTTCCGACTCCATTTAAAAACAAAGCGTCTATTAGCGCCTCGCATAAAGCTGCATAATATTACACTAATAATTTACTTTCATTTTAAATGACTACCACAGAAGATTCTTTAAACCGAGCCAAAAAGTTTCCTTCTGTTTCATACTTGAATGCGCCGAAAACCAGTTCACTTCTTCCGTGTCTTTCGCGCAGACGCACAGCGCAGGACCAAAATAAAAGTCTGATCAAACCAAACTCAGTTTTCATTTCGATTATGTATGATGTTCAGTACACTGCAGTCTAAACACTTTCAAGTCTGACTTTTTAATCAGAAATAACCGTTTTTTTAAAACAAAAATAACCGTTTAAAACAGAAATAACCGTTTTTTTAAATAGAAATAACTGTTTTAAAACAGAAATAACCGTTTTTTTAAAACTAAAATAACCGTTTTTAATCAGAAATGACCGTTTATAAACAGAAATAAGCATGTTAAACAGAAATAACCGCTTCTTGAGCACCGCAGTGTTTGCAGTGTTGCTATGGAAACACAACCACTACAGTTAAATAAACAAATGAACCAATGCTGTAGTTTTCTACAATAGATTATATTGTGCTACAATACACCAGTTAACTGTAGTAAAAACTAAAGTAGTATAGTATTTGTTACAATTTATCAGTTACTGTAATACTTAATATTACAGTATGGTTGGTTGTAGATAATATAATACACTTTACTATGGCATTATGGTACTATTATTTATTACAAATTACAGTATTTTTTTATTATAATAGCTTTTATTTTTAGTTTTTAATAACTTTGTTCCGTTTCTGTAACTGGGGTTCTTTCTAAAAGAATGAAAAGCAGATTTTACTTTATCTTACTGTATACAAATGTATATACATATTTATGAACATATTTATAAACAATTCATAACCATCATACTAAATTACCTTCATGGCGGTTTGTAGATCTTCCATCATATGACCTAAATATACACAAACAGCATGTTTAATTTACAATAAAGAGCCATTATTGTGATGGCCTAAATAATGATGTATGTGATTTATGATTAGCTTTAACCTCTGATATGTGATGCTGAATTACTACAGTTACAGTTGTTTAATTGAAGAAAATCTATTCGGTGAAATATTCAGGTTTCAAATGAAGGCTTGAGCATGAAACTACACATGAAATCATACATTATTTGCCAAATGTTAGAGTAGTAAGCAAGACACGGCTGGAAACCATATTCTGTTTTATTACAGTGGCTGTCAAATTGGCAAACAATTGGAATAAAACACAAGGCGACAAGCAACACTCATAAACACAAGACTGATATTGTGAATATGACAATAGTTTATAGGCTCCACATACACATGACAGAGGATGCATTAATAACAGTATGAATATTAATACAGCAGTAAACAGTGAGTGTGGCATTGCAAGCTCCATCTACTGGTGCGGCGGGGTATTTAAAGGCACATTTGTCCAATGCTTACATTTCACATTTATCACTATCATCAAAGCAGGAACTAACAATATTACAATAAAGTTACGACACTGTGCTAAAGAGGTAAGTAAAAAGTGCTGCTCTTTTGTAGATATTTTCACACATGGCCACAAACACTGAAATAAACAGTAATTGCCTTTGTCAGTTTACAAAATATACATAAAAGAAATCCTCATCATAAACAAAGTAAGGCTTTGCTCGTGTCCTTTCCATTTAAAATTAGAATCAACCACTGCACTTCAGTCAGGATCCCAATTAAGATCCAGCATTTCTAAATTTAATGAAAAACAGGGTCATTAAACGGTCAGTTGGTGTTTCTGTGTGGAGTTTGCATGTTCTCCCCGTGTTGGTGTGGGTTTCCTCCGGGTGCTCCGGTTTCCCCCACAGTCCAAACACATGCGCTATAGGGGAACTGATCAACTACACTGGCCGTAGTGTATGAGTGTGCGAGTGTGAGTGTGTGAATGAGTGTATATGGGTGTTTCCCAGTACTGGGTTGCAGCTGAAAAAGCATCTACTGTGTAATCACCACAACAGATCGATTACTATAGTTGTCGTGTTACCATAGCAACTGTAGAATCACAACAGACCGATTACTGTATATGTCGTGTTACCATAGCAACTGTAGAATCACCACAAGATTGATTACTATAGTTGTCGAGTTACCGTAACAACTGTAGAATCACCACAGCAGATTAATTCAAGTACTGTACTGTAGCATGTCTCAAAAAGACTTAATATATATATATATATATATTTAATGTGGTATCCCCAGAGTCTAATTTGAATGTGACCCTTGTTCACTTTCTCAGCTTTGGACAAGCCTTTTTCAGGTGTTTCGCTAGACTGCCGTATCTGCTGAAAGTCTTCCCGCATGTAGGGCAGAGGTACGGCTTCTCTCCAGTGTGCACTCGCTCGTGCACTTTCAGCCCTGACGACTGAGTGAAGCTCTTTTCACAGTGTGAGCACTTGTAGGGCTTTTCTCCGGTGTGGATGCGCTCGTGCACCTTCAGCTCTGCAGCTCTGGCGAAGGTTTTCCCGCACTCCAAACACTCGTAGGGTTTCTCCCCAATGTGTGTCTTCTGATGGTCCTTAAAGCCATTGAGCCACAGGAAACTCTTCCCGCAGAATGAGCACACGTACCGCCGCTCGTCCTCGTGAATCCTCATGTGTGTCTTTAAATGCACGGCCAGGAAAAACTTCTTCTCACACTTCTCACAGCTGAAGGGTCTTTCTCCAGTGTGTGACAGCAGGTGTGTCTTCAGATTGCACGCTTCAGCAAACCTCCTGCCGCACTCAGGACACTGGTGTAGCTTCTCTCCAGAATGCACCTTCATGTGCACCTTCAGCGTGCTCTGCTGAGTGAAGCTCTTCCCGCAGAGCGTGCATGTGAACGGTTTCTCCCCGGAGTGTGTTTTCGTGTGCTCCCTCAGCACCTCTTTCTGTTTGTAGCTCTTCCCGCATTGAGGGCAGGTGTACGGTCTGTCTCTGGAGTGAATGCGCATGTGCCGTTTCAGCTCTCCTGAGCTCGGGAAGCTCTTTGCACACTGTCGACAGGTGAACGGACGCTCACCTGTGTGGATTCTCAAGTGCCTCTTTAGTCCTCCTGAATTGGTGAAGCTCTTTTCGCACTGCGGACACGTGAACGGACGCTCTCCGGTGTGTATCCTGAAGTGATCCTTCAGGCTTCCCTTACATGTGAAGCTCTTGGCGCACTGAGGACAGGTGTACGGCCGCTCACCTGTGTGGATCACCATGTGGACCTCCAGGTGTCCTTTACGCGTGAAGCTCTTCCCACACTGCGGGCAGGAGAAGGAGCCTTTTGGTGGAGCAGTCTCTGAGCCGCTAGAGGACTTCTCTTCACTTGTTGAACTCTTCTCTTCATTCACTTCTTCATCTTCCACCTTCATCTGCTCTGAAATGACATAAACATGAACAGAAAGTGTTGTTTATATGAAGACCTGATTCAGATTTACAGCTGATATATAAGCAGAGCTGGGCAAAACATAAAAGTAATCCAAAAGTAGTCAGATTACATTTGCATTAATATGTAATCTAAAGATATTATATACCTTTCTACAAATGTTTTAATGTAGTTTATAATATCTGAAATATCATATCTTTAGATTACATAATTACGGTAATGTAATCCGACTGCTTTTGGATACAAAAGTAATCCAAAGGTAGTTAAATTAGGGTTGCAATAACATTCAATCTAAAGATATTATATTTCTGTCAACAAATGTTGTAATGTAATTTGTAATCTGTAATATATTTGGTTTAGATTTCATATTTATAATAATCTAACTTTTTTATATAAAAGAAATCTAAAAGTAATCAGATTACATTAGTATAAATATGTAATCTGAAGATAATTGTTGTAGTGTACCCTTTAATATAGTAGCTTTAGAGTCCTTTTTTTGTAATTTAATCTGACTACTTCTTGATACAAAAGTAATCTAAATGTAATTCAAAAAGTATTTCAATTACTGTAGCAATAATATGCAATCTAAAGATATTATATTACTGTCTACAAATGTTGTAATGTAATTTGTAATCTGTAAAATATTAGGTTTAGATTACATATTAATGATAATTTGTTTTTGAATACAAAAGTAATCCAAAAGTGATGCGATTACATTAGCATAAATATAAAATCTAAAGATATTTTATTAATTTCTACAAATGTTTTAATGTAATTTGTAATCTGTAATATATTATTTTTAGATTATATAATTACAGTAATGTAATCTTTATTTTGTAATGTAATCTGACTACTTTTGGATACAAAAGTAATCTAAATGTAATCCAAAAGTGGTCTGGTTATGTAACCATAAATATGTAATGTTATTTAAATATGTAATATGTTATCTTTTGATTACATAATTATAGTAATGTAATCTTCTTTTGAATCCAAAAGTAATCTAAATGTAATCCTAAAGTAATCAGATTACCTTAGTATAAATATGTAATCTAAAGATAATTATTGTAATCTTAAATATATTAGCTTTATATTACATATTTTTTTGTAATGTAATCTGACTATTTTTGGATACAAAACTAATCTAAATATAAGCCAAAAGTAGTTTGATTACATTAGCATAAATATGTAATCCAAAGATATTACAGTCTATAAATTTTGTAATGTAATTTGTAATATATTAAGTTTAGATGACATATTAATGATAATCTGTTTTTAAATACAAAAGTAATCTAAATGTAATCCAAAAGTAATCAGATTACATTAGCATAAATATGTAATCTAGAACAATTGTTGAGTGTAATCTTTTATAATTTATCTTTATATTACATATTTTTGTAATATAATCTGACTACTTTAGAATACAAAAGTAATCTAAATGTAATCCAAAGTAGTCTGGTTATGTTACCATAAATATGTAATGTTATATAAAGTAATTTGTAATCTGTAACATAAGTATTCCAATATTACAAATTATTCTGTAGTTAGTAATATAATATCTTAGTTCAACATTTATAATAACATAATCTGACTTCTTTTGGATCAAATTTAGATTACTTTAGTGCTAATGTCACACACTGAAGCAGAATAATCTGCTTATTTGACAGCTATTTAATATACATTAATATTAGTAACACCAAGCAACACTAAACCTGATTATTTTACTTCAGATTAAGTACATTTAAAAATACAGTTACATTACAAAAACCAATTAAACACATGAAACATCAGCTAAAACACACTAAATGTGTAGATAACAGTGAAAACATCAAACAGCAACACTACAAACGCGAGAAATCACATATTAAGCAACAGGTTTATTAATTTATAAGATTAAAAGATAAATATTATAAGAATTAATTCATTATAAACAACTTGCTGCCATTCTGCGAATAATATGTAATCATGTAATCCATAAAAGTAACTGCTGATTACAAGTATTCAGAAAAGTAATTTACTCGAACTTGATTCTTGGAATCTGATTACGTAATCCAGATTACCATTAGTCCATTACTATCCCAGCTCTGAATAAGAATACAAATATGAATAAAACATGCATTATTTTATACATATATTCATGATATTATGGATGGATAATAATCACTAACCTGCAAGTCCCTCAGTGTCCTCATCTGTCATGGTGTGTGTTTCTGCATCACTCTCCATATTTACTGCAGTATTTCAGATTATCTTCTAGTTCTTGTCATGTTCAAAACGAAAATACCAGTGGAAGGAAAACAGACGATGAAACATATCTGTCTGCAGGCATTTCACTACTAAAACCGCCATTTAACTCTCGATATTGACTAAAACCCGAAGCCTCCAGCAGCTATATGATCTTGATTGATGTATTCGAGCTTATAATGAAGAATAATAACGTCGTCTCTACACTTTAGTAAAGTGCGGATGCATCTCTGGACATCTCGTGTCCTTGAATAAGTATTATTCCGCTGAGGAACACTAAACTCTCTCGGCAGATTTTCAGCAGCTCTGACGCAGCCCTGATGACGTCACCGCGCCGAGTGATGTTTTCATGTTGATGGAAAATAAAGAAAAACCGAAAGTTTGTGCTTCAATTAAAGACAGCCGGCGATTACCGGTGTGCATTTCCAATACAAAAATTACTGTTAAGCACTAAATATTACCAGAAACGTGGTGGATGTTTGTAACAACCATTATGAAAGTTAAATGACAGCAAAAGAGTCTCTAGAAATAACTAATTCAAAATATAAAGTTATTATACATTCATCGACTCATTATACAGGTAATTCTGCATCATGCGTTGTAAAAAACGCTGTTCTTTTGGGTAAACAAAATAAACGATGTACGCATATAATATAAATGTTTTACACTAAATTTAACTTTTTAACCCAGCAGCTGGGTTTGTCCATATTAAGCTTATAATTTGGTTAAAACAACCATAATTTTATAGTATAAACCCTGGCGATTTTGCTATAACTCCAGACACGTGACAAAATGACATAAATTGTGGATAAATTATTTACTTTGCAACCATTGGATTATCAGACAGTTTATTACGTCACAACCCAAATGCCAATACACCACAAAATAATATTTCACAATCAACAATAACATAATCAGCAACTGAAGGAGCTGTAATGATGTGGGTTATTATTTCTGTATATTTCTTTTGTGTATGTGTGTATATATATATATATAATTAATTAATTATAAACCCTACCTGACAAAAGCGGCGTCCGCAACACTACCCTCACCACCCGTGCCCTCAGTTATATCCGCGTCTAGAGCGGCAGAATAGAGAGGAGGGCGTCCGCGACACTACCCTCACCACCCGTGCCCTCAGTTATATCCGCGTCTAGAGCGGCAGAATAGAGAGGACGGCGTCCGCGACACTACCCTCACCACCCGCGCCCTCAGTTATATCCGCGTCTAGAGCGGCAGAATAGAGAGGAGGGCGTCCGCGACACTACCCTCACCACCCGTGCCCTCAGTTATATCCGCGTCTAGAGCGGCAGAATAGAGAGGAGGGCGTCCGCGACACTACCCTCACCACCCGCGCCCTCAGTTATATCCGTGACTAGAACGGCAGAATAGAGAGGACGGCGTCCGCGACACTACCCTCACCACCCGCGCCCTCAGTTATATCCGTGACTAGAACGGCAGAATAGAGAGGACGGCGTCCGCGACACTACCCTCACCACCCATGCCCTCAGTTATATCCGTGACTAGAAAGGCAGAATAGAGAGGACGGCGTCCGCGACACTACCCTCACCACCCGTGCCCTCAGTTATATCCGCGTCTAGAACGGCAGAATAGAGAGGACGGCGTCCGCGACACTACCCTCACCACCCGTGCCCTCAGTTATATCTGCGTCTAGAGCGGCAGAATAGAGAGGACGGCGTCCGCGACACTACCCTCACCACCCGTGCCCTCAGTTATATCTGCGTCTAGAGCGGCAGAATAGAGAGGACGGCGTCCGCGACACTACCCTCACCACCCGCGCCCTCAGTTATATCCGCGTCTAGAGCGGCAGAATAGAGAGGGCGACGTCTGCGACAGCTCCCCCTCCCCACCTCCACTTTAGGGTTGAGGGCGGTGGGACCGTCCATTGCCTAGAGCGGCAGTTCAGCTTGCTCCGGCCCTGCACACAGATTCATTTACATTTTCGATTCATCTTTATTTTTATAGCGCTTTTACCATGTAGATTGCGTCAAAGCAGCTTCACATAGAATATTCTAGTGAGCTGAAGCTGTGTCAGTCCAGTTTTCAGAGTTTCAGTTTAGTTCAGTTTGGTTTAATATTCACTGCTGCGAAAGAGCAAATCCATCCATGCGCAGCACTGACACATTTAATTTCACTTTGCTTTTTTTTGTAGCTCTACACACTGTTTCTTGTAGTTTTACAGTCTTTGTGTTAAAGGCATTCGCCCCAACCCTCTCCATCATACTCACTCTCCTCTTAGTTGGGTTGGTGGGCCAAATCAAAGGTTACAATGGGCCAACTTTGGCATATCTCTGGTATAGATAGTACTTTTCTAAAGGCCGAGTAGTACGTTTACACTGAGTAGTCGTCGATTTCGGACGCAGCCCAAGCTTATTTAGATCAGCTGTGTTTGATTAGGGTTGGAGCAAAACTGCAGAGCTGTGGCCCTCCAGGAATTGAGTTTGACACCTGTGCTGTAGAGACAGCAGAGGCGCATGTACAGCTTGTATTAATAGGTCCCCTTAAAAAGTGAACTCATTGTTTCAGCTTTGGACAAGCCTTTTTCAGGTGTTTCCCCAGATTTCCGTATCTGCTGAAAGTCTTCCCGCATGTAGGGCAGAGGTACGGCTTCTCTCCAGTGTGCACTCGCTTGTGAATTTTCAAGGCTCCCGACTGAGTGAAGCTCTTTTCACAGTGTGAGCACTTGTAGGGCTTTTCTCCGGTGTGGATGCGCTCGTGCACTTTTAATTCTCCAGGTCTGATGAAAGTGCTCCCGCACTCCAAACACACGTAGGGTTTCTCCCCAATGTGTGTCTTCTGATGGTCCTTAAAGCCATTGAGCCACAGGAAACTCTTCCCGCAGAATGAGCACACGTACCGCCGCTCGTCCTCGTGAATCCTCATGTGTGTCTTTAAATGCACGGCCAGGAAAAACTTCTTCTCACACTTCTCACAGCTGAAGGGTCTTTCTCCAGTGTGTGACAGCAGGTGTGTCTTCAGGTTACCTGCTTCAGCAAACCTCCTGCCGCACTCAGGACACTGGTGTAGCTTCTCTCCAGAATGCACCTTCATGTGTCTCTTCAAGCTCCGCTGATGTGTGAAGCTCTTCCCGCACAGCATGCACGCAAACAGTTTCTCCCCGGAGTGTATTTTAGCGTGCTCTTTCAGTCCTTCTTTCTGCGTGAAGCTCTTCTTGCATTGAGCGCAGCTGAACGGCCGCTCGCCGGAGTGTATCCGCACGTGTCTCCTCAGGTCTCCGGAGCTGGTGAAGCTCTTCGTGCACTGAGCGCAGCTGAACGGTTTCTCTCCGGTGTGGATTCTGATGTGCCTCTTCAGGTCTTCCTGCCGTGCGAAGCTCCATCCACACTGCGGACACATGAACGGCTTCTCTCCAGAGTGGATTTTGCAGTGGTCCTTCAGGCTTCCTTTACAGGTGAAGCTCTTCTGGCACTGAATACAGGTGTACGGCCGCTCACCTGTGTGGATTATCATGTGGATCCTCAGGTGTCCTCTACGCGTGAAGCTCTTCCCACACTCAGAGCAAATGAAAGAGTGTTTCGACTGTGTTTCGGCTTGTGAAACTTGATTATCGTTCCGTGATGAACTGCAGGATTGTTCTTCATTTGTGATGTTCATCTGCTCATTCATCTCCGCTTCTTCAGGCTCTTTGTGTTCATCTTTCACTTCCATCATACCTGAAAGGTTAAATTATGCAAATTAATTCAAGACTGACAATCTGAGATACAACTTACTGGCATCCTATCTGTTGTTGGTATATATATGATCACCCAAACACAAACTGCTCAGTGAACTGTGTGAGAACTTACATTAGCATTATATGTAGTCATTGAGCAGATGATTTCGTCCAAAGCGACTAACAATTGAGCAGGCATTCAGCGATTCAACAAGACCAGGCAATGCACGAAGGTAATGTTAGTGAATTAAGAGATTTTTAATGTGCTCAGGTGATCTTGAAGAGATGGTTTATTAGTTATGGTTTGGTGATGCTACTGAATCTGTGCGGGAATGGGAAGATCATTCCACCAATGTGGAACAGTGAATGAAAAGGTTCTGGAAAGTAACTTATAACCTCTCTGCGATGGTATCACAAGGCAGCGCTCACTCCACAACTGGATGCTGCTGGACAGGGCTTACACCAGGGATCACCAAACTTGTTCCTGGAGGGTCGGTGTCCTGCAGATTTTAGCTTCGAACCTAATCAAACACACCTGAATCATCTAATCAAGGTCTTACTAGGTGCACTTGAAACATCCAGGCAGATGTGTTGAGGCAAGTTGGAGCTAAACCCTGCAGGTACACCAGACGTCCAGGACCGAGATTGGTGACTCCTGGTGGAAGTAAGAGGCTGCAAAGTCAGTGGGTGTCCTGTAAGGACACATCAATGATCTGAACTCAATCCAAGACTTGAGCGGTGACCAAAGCAGAGGGGTAAGGAGAGGAGTTACACATGGGCTCTCACTGAAGAGTGTCCTGTAGAGGATTAAGAGCTGGATCTGATTTTCAGATGTTGAACATGGAGTCGTGGTAGCAATGTGCTCTTTAAAGGATAGCTGATCATCCAGGATCACCCCAAGATTCAACCCAGACTCAGTGTGAATACCCCTGTATACATTTCTGGAGAGCGAGAATTATGTAGCCAGAGGTACATGAGGTGCATTTGTCTTTAAACTAGCTTCATCATCGTTCTCTTCACTGACCGCTTATCTCTCTATGAACTGCTTTCCCTTTTTTACAAGTTTGGCCAGTGGCTCGCTGTGTACGTCGGCAAACTTGAGATACAGAGAGGAGTTAGGTGACGACAAGGTTCGAGTTAAGTGAAGAACGGTTCCAGAAAGCCGGTAAAACAAGTCAATAAACAAGTACATAACAGGATGTGAATGTGGGAAAATCTGAAAACATGGTAAAAGTCAGGCGGCCACTGTAAGGGCTTTTCTTTCTCTGGATTGCTTTTGAAAACACTATTGGTTGGGTTTAGGGAGGGGGGTGTTTAGGGTATCGGTCAGTCAGTCAACCGCAGCCTCTGGTGGATTTACGTAAGAACAGCAGGCGCGAATGACATTCGTGAGAGAAATCTGAGGTCTGAAAAAGCAAACACAGCGCCCTCTGGTGGATTCACAAACACAAAAACTGCACACAAAAAACCATCTCCTGGGACGTATTTGGCGCTCTCCATAAATGTATATAGTGGTACGTATCAATAATGAGCCTGGATTGCCAAGATTCCTTACTGAATTAAGTAGGGAATGATCCCAGCTGGAATGAGAAATTGTGTTGAGTCGCAGGGAAGATGAGAGGATTAGTTTCTGCCAGATTAAGCAGTAGGTGATGGTCTTTCATCCAAGCATTATGAGAACCCTTGGGTCATCAGATGAAATGAAAAACAAGCTGTGTGTCAATGAGAAGCATGAGCATGTGCTTGGATAATGGTTCCCAGTACTGTGCTGTAAATAGAAAATAGAAGGGGACCTAGAACAGATCCCTGAGGTATGTCTGTTGCATGAGCTTTGTAGTCCTCTCCAGTTTTTGTGAGTGGAGCAACACAGATTTCCCCCATTGATTTTGAGCACACACAGTGGGGAGCAGACATTAATGCATGAGGGCTGATCAAGTGCTCATTTTAACTGATGTGGTGTCACAACAAAAATATTCTGTCCACTGAAAGACTATTTAAACCAAAATAAAAGAAACTAAACAAAATAAAGAGGTCTGAACCCACCAGAGGAGAGAGTAAACAAAGAGAGTTCATTTTGGATTTCTGGGTGATTTCCTTTAACACTGAATCGTACAAAGCAACATTTTCTCTGCACAAAACTTGCATTGAAGCTCTTGATTTACTTTTTTAAAGTTGTTTAAATGGAAGAACTGGAAGAATCAATTTTTTTATTTGTATTTTGAAGATGAACATCAGTTTAATGGTTTGTGGAAATGATGTCAGACTGTAGGCTGATGACCAACCTTTATGTTCCTCAGCATCTTGTTCTGCATCACTCTTGTCTTCACTCTCCTCTCTCACCATCTCCATGCTTACAATAATAATAATAACACTACATCTCTCAGATCCCAGCTGGCCTCTTCCTGCTTGTGTTGAAAACAGACTGTCAGCTTTTTGGTTACGGCAATATTTTTACCAGAATAAAGCAGAAATGCTCAATAAATACCTGAAAGCAGCACTCATACACGCTGAGGCGACGCTGAACTTCAGAAACCCTACAGCGAATATCCGCGGCCGCGCCGCACTACATTAGATGCTCGCTGTGACATCGTCACGCCAATCAGGCACATTTGAAAATCACAGGAAAGTACTTTTTAAAGATTTATTATACTACTCGCACAGCTCAAAACCTCCAGAATAACAGCAGCCCGAGCGCGCGCCGCAGCCCGTGTGACGTCACGCGTCAAGTTCACCGCGCCGCGCGCACGCGCTGAGCAAAATAAAGGTCTGGAGGAAATCACGCACACTGTCAGAAGAGCATCATGGTGACATACACTCACACTCACATATACATTTAATCATGATTTGTGCAGTGTAGTTTACATGATTTTCCTTCTGTCATTATTGAGGATTCTCAGTCCATGCCAGTAGGCGGCGGAAATGCACAAACCGACATGAAACATGAAGAATATAACGTGCAGAACTTCTCTGATCCGGATGTTAACAACACAATGCTCACGATGTGATGCTAAAATAAAAGTACTCGTTTGCTACAAACTATACTGTTTGCATCTCCATAACCGAGCTGTGCTTAATGAACATATGAATGATCTGAGAGATGAAGATGCTGAGGAGAGACAGAGTCTGTGCTCCTGATTCTCCATCAGTGACTTCAGCAAAAGAAAACACAGAACATTTCCATATGTTTCATTTTAAATACAGTGTATATTAAAATAAGGGCGTATTTGGGTCATGCTATAGTAAACAGCTGCAGTAACACAACATCCTCAGCAATATGAGCAAATGACCAAATACTGTAGTACAATACCGCAATACACTACAGTAAACACTAAAGTAGACTACACTAGCCATTGCAGCTATTAGTTCACATTATTACTTCACTATAGTTATTAATGTTCAATATGTAGTTCACTATTATATACATATATATATATATATTGAGGTGGTGGCTCAGTGGTGTCGCACTGTGGCCTCACAGCAAGAAGGTCTCCGGTTTAAGTCTCGGCTGGGTCAGTTGGTGTTTCTGTGTGGAGTTTGCATGTTCTCCCCGTGTTGGTGTGGGTTTCCTCCGGGTGCTCCGGTTTCAGTCCAAACACATGCGCTATAGGGGAACTGATCAACTACACTGGCCGTAGTGTATGAGTGTGTGTGAATATGTATGGGTGTTTCCCAGTACTGGGTTACAGATGAAAGGGCATCCGCATCTGACCTCTATGACTGAATGATTCTTGTTCTACACAATTTTTGATTCTTCCCACATTAAAAAAATACTAACCCTGACCTGTGTTTAATATAAGATATAATAAATACAAACATACACACACACACACACACACACACACACACACACACACACTTGTCAGTGTCACGTGTCCTGCTGTGATTAATCTTATCTTATCTATCAGAGTGATGGGTTCTTCTGCTGTCTGTCTTTATCTGTATGCTGTTCTGGCCTTCAGTGACGCTGCAGGAGTCACTGATATCACTGACATTCTCAAGTGCACTTCACCCTAAAATGAACATAAAGTTGTCATCATTCACTCAGAATTCAATTTTTATGAATTCTATGAAGTTTACTTACATGTTTTTACAAAGTTAAGGTAAGTTGAACATAAAATAATTAAGTGGTTCCCCCAAAATACTCAAGAATTGTGTTGATTCAGCTCATTTTAAATGAGTAGTTTGAACAAACAGCAAAGATTCTTCAAAATGTCATTCCTAGTAGACACTGCAGTGCTTTTGACTTAAATTTCCTTCAGCTTAGTCTATTTATTCATCACTGGTCACCACAACAGGATGAACCGACAACTTATCCAGCATGTTTTATGCAGTGGATGCCCTTCCAGCTGCAACCCAGTACTGGAAAACACCTATAGACACTCATTCCCACACACACACACACACACACACACACACACACTCATACACTACGGCCAGTTTAGTTTTAGTTGATCAGTTCCCCTATAGCGCATGTGTTTGGACTGTGGGGGAAACCGGAGCACCCGGAGGAAACCCATGCCAACACGGGGAGAACATGCAAACTCCACACAGAAACACCAACTGACCCAGCCGAGACTCAAACCAGAGACCTGAGTGCTGTGAGGCGACAGTTCTAACCACTGAGTCACCGTGCCATCCCAGTAGTAACTTGTGCTGATGTAAAGCTGTTGGGTTTGTCCATATTCGACCCAGTGTTGGGTAAACACAACCCGTCCATCATGAAGGATCAGATTATGACTGGAGGATCATGCATGGTTTACGGCTCTGTCGATCATTGATCGTCTCTCTATCAGCTCCATCACGCAGACTCGGCACTTCTCATCATTTTATGCATCTTTTACGACACTGTTAAGCTGATCTCAGATCTGCCAGTTGTTTTGAGCTTCATAACTCAACATGAGGCACGAGGACGCCACACACACGCTCATATTTCTCGTATATTTATTATTATTTGTGTCTGCTCGATGTGAGGTGAGAGATTCTTTATTGATCTATTGAACACGCAGGGGATTTTTGTGAACAATATTAATAATTCAGCGTGCATCTTTACTAACTGTCTCTTCATAAGCTTGAAAAGTTTTGTTTATACACTAAAAATGATCAAATTACAAAACGTTTTTACTTAAAAACTCCTGATTTAGTTGGGGACAGTTTCATTATTTTATGTTGGATGCACTTTCATTTGTTAAGTTAACTTAATTGATTTTGACAGTAATGAACTGTGTGTAATCCAGCGTTTCCACACTGCATGACAAATCACTGCAATTCTCTCTCTCATCATGTTTTATCCATTATAGGTGACACAACGTCTGATTGGTGAGTGTGTTTTAGCTGAGGATAGATTAATAATATAATATATACAGTCGAAGACTAAATTATATAAACACATTTCTACACATAATAGTTTAATGAGTAATTTCTAATAACTGATGTCTTTAATCTTTGTCATGATGACAGCGCAGAATCATTTTTACATTTATTCTTAATTCCAGCCAAACTGAAAGAAACTGGTAGAGAACATATAGGAAATACTGTGTGAATAATGTCATCATCTTAGGTGTTATATATATATATATAATACAGAAGATGATGTGTAAAACTGTCTGACTGCAGAATGTGTAACATCATCTACAGAATATAATGTAGACGGCGGTAAAGAGGATCTGTTTGACGTCAATGAAGGTAAAGTCAACTTCTCATTACATACAAGAGAAATATTACACACTACAGTATTTTAGAATGATTAAAATATTGAATATATACAAAACGGTAGTGTTTTTGAACCTTCGTTTAGTAAATACCATAGTAAATTGCAATTATGTTGTGGTGATTTTACTACACATGTTAAGGTAACTACTATAGTATCAAGCAATTGAGTACATGAGTTACTGTGGTAATATGTCTCCTGCTATATTACACTTTATAAATGACTGTTTTTACTGTAATATGAGCTGTAGTTTACTGTAGAACAGTTATGCAGTATGTAACTGTATATTAATGTTGCTCTGTGAAAATTACTGTATATTTAACACAAAGAAGGTAAACAGTACTGTAAACACGTCTAATACAGCAGGATAATGGAGTCGTAAATGTAAATACAGTATTTTTGCTGTTATTGATTTACTGTAAGTTACTGTAGAAACTGTTAACAGTGTTTGTGTCGTCATCTTTAGAGATTTTTGCTGTATATGGATATTCAGGGGCAGGTTTTGGTGTATTTAATGTTTTATGTGTTTAATGCTTCAGTTTTAAGCCATTTTTAGAAACTCAGCTGATCATTTTACTACATTATGTACACGATGGAGCACACTGTTCACATGAGGAACCCTGATGTCCATGAAATATTGTTCAACAGTTCACTGCAGCTCTTTCTGTATGGAGTGTACACACTCTAACTAAATACTATAACATGATACAGTGATTGATCTGCTGGGGTGATTCTACAGTTGCTATGGTAACACAACAACAATAGTAACTGATCTGCTGTGTTGATTCTACAGTTGCTATGGTAACACAACAACAATAGTAACTAATCTGTTGTGGTGATTCTACAGTTGCTATGGTAACACAACAACTATAGTAATATAAACAAATGAGCCAATACTACAACTGTACAGTATATTATACAATAATCCACCACAGATTACTGTAGTAAATCCAGGGTATACTACAGCATTTACTTCAGTTTATCACCAGAGTTGATTCTACAGTATGCTGAAGTGAATATTACAGTACAGTTACACTGCAGTATTGAGATCTACATTATACACTGTACTGCAGAACATCCTCAAGTGTGCTGTGTCAGTGTGATTGAGCTCTCCTGTTGGTGTTTTCAGACGCTGGTCTTGATCTTTTCGAGGGAGATATTTTATATGATGAAGTAAGAGATGTTACTCTGATACTAATCTGACACCAGCAATAAATCTAATTTACTTTTGCAGCATAACTGCTGTGTTCATGATCAATAATTCAGCAGTGAAATGCGTTTATAGACATCATGTTTCTGTCACAGACACTGGGGAGAAACTCTATTATCGGCGAGGAATACAGATGGCCCAAAACTATTCCCTATTACTTTGAGGACGATCTGGGTGAGTTTATTCAGTCTTATTTTTAATGGGTGCATGCATTATCTAGTTTATTCATTTCTAATCAGTTTATTCATTTCTAATCAGTGCTGTTGAGTTGAATCTTCAGATAATCTGTTAAGCTGAAAAATTACGTGTGCAAAATAACATAAAACACAAAATCATGAAGCGGCGCTTTCCAACACAGATGATGATCAGAGAGGATCTTGATCATCCGCTCATCTCTTTAAGCATTTCTGAAGGATCATTGGCCTGACAGGAGAGCTGATGTACATGCCTGTGAGCCGCTGTGGTGTCTGTAGACGCTCTCAGTCATCTGCTCTTGTCTGTTTCCCAGAAATCAACGCTAAAGGAGTGATCCTGAAGGCCTTCGAGCAGTATCGGCTGAAGACCTGCATCGACTACAAGCCCTGGACTGGAGAGGAAAACTACATCTCTGTGTTTAAAGGCAACGGGTGAGCTGATAAACACCAGCTCTTATCTCACACACACACACACACACACACACACACACTTTATATCCCAATAAAATAATTCCAGTGCTCTGTGTGTGTGTGTGTGTGTGTGTGTGTGTTGATATAAATGAAATGTGTTCCTTATTTAAGTTTCATGGCTTTACTACTACTAATAACTGATGTGTGTGTGTGTGTGTGTGTGTGTGTGTGTGTGTGTGTGTGTGTGTGTGTGTGTGTGTGTGTGTGTGCGCGCGTGCATGTGTCTGTCTATATGTTTGTGTGTGCATGCACATGTCTGTGTGGGTGTATGCATGCATATGTGCGCGTAATTGTGTGTGTGTATGTTTGTGTGCATATATGTGTGTCCATGCGTGTGCAATCGTGTATTTGTGAATGTATATGTGTGTGTGTTTGCACATGTACATGTCTATGTCTGTGCATATGTGTGTGTGTGTGTGTGTGTGTGTGTGTTCAGCTGCTTCTCATCAGTGGGGAACCGGCGTGTGGGCAGGCAGACTCTGTCTATCGGCAGCGGTTGTGATCGTATCGCCACCATCGAGCACGAGTTCCTGCATGCGCTGGGCTTCTGGCACGAGCAGTCGCGCTCCGACCGGGACGATTACGTCTCCATCATGTGGGACCGCATCACAGAAGGTAATTCAGCACTTCCAGAGTCACTGCGGCAATGAAATGCCCGTCTGTAGTGTTGATTTGGCCATCTCACGGTGAACTATTGATCCTGCTCATCTGCTCTGGAGCATCAGCTCCTCTCTGATCACTCTGATTGGCTGAAATATGCTTAG